GTTCTTTCCTTCCTTCTAGTAAAATAAGGGCAAAACCAGATAGGATAAGGGATGGCTTGAAGGCATTGAAAAGGAAGTTCTAGATCAGGGGAATCTTCTTTTCCTTGTTGTTTTTGGAGACTGGGTCTTCCTATCTTTCCTAGGCTAGAAGTGCGCCTTCACTTAAATCCAATTCACTTGCATGTCAAGGCATCACCCACCGATGTCACTGGTCCTCTGAGAATGAAGGACAAATAATAACAACAGCCTACAAGTGCGGCAGCCACCCATGGGTACATGACCACTTATTATTGGCACAAAAGCTTTGACTCCTGACCTGGGCTAGTTTGCCCCTCCTAGGGCAGCTCTACTCCTAGGGGGTCGCCATATTGGTACTGGACTTAGTAAGCACGCCCAACTGGCTTTCACTGGCCTGCAGCTTAGAACTCATGTACTCCAGTGATCCACCAGCTTCAGTCTCCCTAGCAGCAGGGATTACAGATGTGCACCACCTGCCCAAGACACTCTCTCTCCCAACTCCGGGCATTTCCCCAGGTTGTCCTGCATGCCTGGAATTCTCTCCTCATTCATCTCTGCCTCCTATGGTCTATGGCTTTCTTCAAGCTCCAGCTAAAATCCCACTTTCTGCAGAAAGCCTTTCCTGATCCCTCTTAATTCTAGCTCATTCCTTCTGTTGATTCTCTCCAATTTATCTTGTCTCTATCTTGAGTATACACAGTCGCTTGAGTGTTGCTTCCCCAATTATGCGAGATCCTTGAAGGCAGAGACTGTCTTTTGCTTTAAAATTTTTTTAAAAAAATCTCCAGTGCTTAGCATAGTGCCTGGCACATAGTAGCCCTTAAATGTGTATTGACTGTCAGTCAATATGCTATACTATACTATACTATACTATACTATACTATACTATACTATATACTATACTATGCTATACTATACTATATGATATGATATATGATATAACATAATATAATATAATATAATATAATATAATATAATATAATATAATATAATATAATATAATATAATATAATATAATATAATATGATATATATGTTTATTGACTGTCAGTCTAGGAAAGCCCATGGACCCCTACTCCAACTAATATTTTTAAGTATATAAAATACATAGCATGACAAATGAAACAAATTTGTTGAAATAGACTATCTCTATCTATCTAAAATTCACGGCCCCCCAGGTTAAAAACTCCTGCGTGTAGAGCAAACAAGAGGAGGCAGAGAGAAAGAGCTACCTGAAATCCAGGATCATTGAACTCAGCGATAAGGTGGAGATAATAATACTCACAGTACAACTATTTTACAGTGTTGTGAGCAAAATTATGTGTAAGCTTGAAAGGCCTCCATAAATGCATTTTGTGTTTTGTTTTCCCCAGGGAAACTATATGCTGGGAATATAGTAGGTACTCAGCAAATATAAGGGGGAGTGACCATAAAAGATTTAATTAATCAACAAGCATTTATTAAAAGCTATAAGCCAGGCACTGTAAAGAGGGGAACATCCCACCCCACAACTTTTGACCACGTCTAGGGCAGGGCGCACCAAATTAGCTGAAATGTCTCCTTCTCTAGTCCCTTGGCTGAATGTACTGGATTCTCACTCCCAATACTCGTCTGTGTTCAGGTCGAGGCAGGGGGTCAACTAGGGATCTGTAAAAGACTCTTCTCTCCGAGGGGGCCTGACCACTGAGCTACCCTTCTGCGATCTTTCCTCCCATAGAGAGTGGGATCAAAGCCTTCTCAAACTCTGAAGCAGCTGAGCAGCACCAGCCCAAACGGTTGATAACTTTCTTGAAAAGAGTATCTGGACAAGTCTCTTGGGTACTGACTTTAATAAAAAGGATTCCTGACATTTCTCCCCTTCCTTATCTTAGCTCTCCCCAGGATGAATGCCACAAAGCTAAAGGGAAATCCATACAGGGTAAGGAATTTGTTGTCCTTGAGATAAGAGAGGGCCAGGGACCCACCATCAGCTGGCCATTCACCGAGCTATTTGCATGAGTAGGGAAGCATTTCCAGCCATTACTCTACCCCATTCATCTTTGGCCTCCCTATTCCTCCCTCCCGTCCTTGTGAACAAGGACAGGCATTTGCAAGATGGGGTCTAGTCCCTGGGATGCAACATGCTGAGGCTGGCAGATAGAATGAGGCTAACTGGACCAAGCAGGGATAGTACCTGTGACCCAGGTCTTGTCACCAAAGACCTCAACAAAATGAGCTCACCAGCCACAAGGCCCCGTTTGGAACAGATGGACTGACCAGGCTGACTAGAATAGGCCTCATTCTATAGTTAGGGCAGGCAACTGACTTTTCTATGTTAGTCGTAATTAAGGGAATGTTCATGCTCTATCTTAGATTCTGCTACTCTCACTCCTCCTCCTTTTTCCACCCTCCCACTTAAGTCAACGAGTAATTATTAAATACCAATTCTGTGCCAGACACTGGATTATCAGGAAAAGTATTAACAACTGTGGGAGGGGGTAGATCAGTCAGTCATTTATTCAATCAGCACGCAAACAACTACAAATCAGGGCTCGACTTTCTTGCTGATTAGTATCTAGACTTAAAGTGATGGACGAATGTTAATAATGAGGATTAACCCTAAAACCAAGGCAGCTAGGTGGCCCGGTGGTTAGAGTACCATGCCTGGAGTCAGGAAGACTCATCTCTGTGGATTCAAATCTGGCCTCAGATATTTACTAGCTGTGCGACCCTGGGCAAGTCATTTAACCCTGTTTGCTTCAGTTTCCTCATCTGTCAAATAAAATGGAGAAGAAAATGGCAAACCAGTCCAATATCTTTGTTAAGAAAACCCCAAATGGAGCCGCGAAGAATCGGATACAACTGAAAGACCACAGTAGTTCAGGTAATTCCCAAGGATATTTTGAAACCTATATTTGCAATATGTGATTTTTCATCAGTCTGGTTATAAATGACAACGAGCTTATGATGTAAAATACTAGGCACCAAGTTGTAGCTTGATGCTAGTGTTTTTGCAATCTGCCGTGGCATGTTGTACAATTTCTACTATTTCCTTGCATAATCTACATTGGTTAGTAAGTGTGCCCTGAAGGGTAACGTTCCTGTAACTTTTCTTGGCAATCGCTATCATAAACCTCTCCATTTCCACAAAGAAACCCACGTGCCTCAACTGTTTGTTCGGATCATACACAGTGCCCAGCATTCGGTCTCTTGCTTAATGAATGTTTCTTGGCCAACTGAGCAACTGCAGGAGTCCTCAGCACTTTCAACAGAACATGAACTGAAGGAAATCTTGAGGCCCGGCCAAAAAGAGATGATCAGAGACCAAGGCTGAGGAGCCAAAAGAGGAGGGAATGGGCCCCGTGGCCCTTCTACCTGCTACAAAACTGTTCAACTCCAAGCGTAAACATAACTGGTTTCCAAGTATGGTAGAGCTGACGTGAACGTATCTCGCATCTGTACATTTTACTCCACATTGGCCCTTATCACATCTCAACTGGATGAAATAATTATGCCAGGTCCTTGGAAAAAAATTCTCAATTGTTTCCTACTGCCTCTAGGATTCAGTTTCTTAATGGACATGTATACAGTAATAGGTTGACAAACCTTTATTAGGCGTTTACTATCATGCGACGCACTACACTAAGTGCTAGGGACACTAAAAGAGGCAAGACGGTCCCTGCCCTCAAGGAGCTTACAGTCTAATGGGGAAGACAAGTGAATTTGCCTGGCTACGGAGAGCTTCACCTATCGTCTCATGGGCATCCTCCCATTCGAAGTCATCACCCAGGCATTGAGGGCTCTTCACAATCTGGTCCTTAGCCTGTTTTTTCCAGTCATTTCTCAGGAGAATCTCTTCCTGGACTTTGTGTCAGCCAAACTAGCTTGGCTGGTGCTGCTCAAACTCGACATCCTCCTTCCCTTGCCTTGATGTCTTTGCAAGGACTGCCCCTGGGCCTTGGAACCCAAACAGACCCTGGTGCCTCCCTTCAAAGCTCAGGTCGGGAGCCCCTTTTCAATTCTACTGGTTATGAGCCGTCTTGGCTTCCTTGACTTACCCCGTTTTAAGTGGTCTGTGTGTGTATCTCCCGGGACAGTGGGAGGATTCTCCCAGAGAGGAAGGACTGTTTCATTTTTGGCCATTTCCAGTACCTAAATATGGTGGGCACCCAATAACTATTTGTCATTAGCTTTTTTGACACTCATTAGTTCTCTTGGCAAAAATTGTTTTGAGCTTGAAATACCCTTGCAAATAGAACATCTATATGCCACTCTGTGCCTCATATCCGAAGACTTCTCTGTTCATCATTCTTTGCCCATTGCCAGAGGAAATACACTGGAGACCTTCCCCACTCCCAGGTATTGCAGTTAGGATCCAGTATGGTTTATTGGTGGTTTAGTTGCAAAGTTATCCATAGCCCCCCTAACCTAACACCAGTAACACGATGGCTGATGGTGGGGAAATCTGCTGACTGAAACAGTCCTCCTACAAAAATGCCAGGGTAGAAGGTATGAACTTGCTGTGGTCAGCTGCCTCCAGGCTCTGTGCTAGTGGAGCCTGAGGTCCAAGCTCAGATGTTCCCTGGACGTGTAGGCACGTACCTGCCACCAGGTAGGATCCCCTCCACCCTTTGTGATGTAAGTTCCCACTCTCAGGATTCTGGGCACGTCTCTCGGGCATCCCCCAGGAAACTGCTAGCATTCTGAGAACACCTCAGGGAAATGCTCAGAGTCATTAAGTGGAAAAACACATCAGTAAAATGGACACTTCCAGGAAAGCTTTAAGAGGTGATTCAGTTAAAAACAACAGCATCACACACTTTTAAAAACCTTTCACTTTAGACACAGCTGAAGCCAGATATATCAAGAGTACTTCTCCCTAGGAGAGTTTAGAGAACGTGGGCCTGATTAAGATGGAAAAATCTACCATGTGGAGACTACACTCGGTAGAGAGAGAGAGAACACATCACCACGCACACATTTCACAGACAAGGAGAGAAAGCCTACTGTAAATTCTTTATTTTTACATATACACAGAGGACACAAAAAAGTACAATTAAACAAAGATTTCTTAGATCACATAATCTTGTTTTTCCCAGCAAGTATGGACTTAGGTGCAAAGCAAGTTCCAAATACTCTGAGCCCACTTAGCTCCAAGATTTAGATGGGAAGTAACTGAAATTAAAAATATTGTGCCAGATGCCACAAACGATATACCCTATAGACTCTAGGAGGGATCCTCAGACACAGACCCTCACGAGAAAGAGGTTCTTAATCTATTTTCTAACTGAACAACCCTCTGATGAATAAGTGTTAGAGGGCTGACAGGTAGGAGGAGCTGTTGGTACCGTGCACATCACTGCAGCCTTCACACCAGTCAACACAGCACCCAATGGTTCTGGCCGTAAAGTCGAGAATAATCTCGTTCCTGTTCCTGACAAAGCATTTTGAGGGAGTGCTTAAATTCAGTTATTTGTTTTCCTTAATACCTGCCAGCAAAAAGCCTGAATTCACTGTAATAGAGCAAGCAAGCAAGAACTGGCAAAACGTCTGCCTCGCCTGCCCAAAGCACTTCCTTTTCTGGTCCTAGGGGATTCTGAGCCAGAAACTCATCCCCAGGTGCACGTCACCTCAATGTGCCTGAACCGCTGGGCAGCTAGCTCCGGGATTACCCAGACCCAGAGGACAATCTAAGCCCCATTCTTGGTCCACAATCAGGGCCTCTCTGAAGCCTGAGAACCTGTGCCCAGTGTCTGCCCTCATCATTTCTGCTAACAGTCTGGTTGCTGAAAGGCCCAACTCAAGTTCTGTGCTGCCAGCTGGGCCCCAGGCCAAGATTTAGACAGCAATTCCTGATAATCAAAACAGAGCAAACGAGCCTTCTTTGGCTGATAAAAGGGGGCTCTTCTCCTTTCTCTCTCATAGGTCCAGAAAGCTGAGATTTAAAAACTGTCCCTGAGAAGGGAAGGAAAGGGGCTGATCTGAAGGATGAGCGGGGCATTTAATCTAGTAAACACTGTAACCTACCAAAGGGTGAAGCAGGCTCTTGGACATTTAGGCCAGAGAACCGCAGCCACCCCAGCTAGTGGGAATAACCTCTGATGGGGGCTCCAGGGTCTTGGGGAGCAACGCTGCCTTATCTTTCCTTAAATTATGTTAAGCCTCCAACCTTTGAGAGTACTGAAAAGATGGGCATGCCAAGCAGCACCTTTCTCATTCCACAGGCCCGCACCTGCAAATTTTTCTGACTGGACTGCTGGGTTGTCAGCTCAGGCTACAGGAATCCTCCATTAAAGGGACAGAACCATCCAAACCAAATCCTGCTGCAGGACGAACAAGTGGCCCGAGCCTCTCCGCCACGGCAGTGGCCTTTCCTACTATCTGTAAAGATGCCACCATTCTGCTGCCAGCACCTCTGGAGAAACAAGCCTGGGGGACAGCAAGGGGTGGCTGCTGGGGGGGTGGGGTGGGGGAGGCACCACCAATACTACACGTGCCGCGGCGCACCCGGGCTTCACAAACATTTCACGGAGCAGCGCAGCGCTCAAGCCCAGGTATGTACATAAATAACAGCTATATTGGGATTTTTCTAATAACTAGCTTGAAGAGACCCTTCTGCCCACATTCCCTGGTTTATGTCAGTTAAAATTCCCCTCCCTTTGCCATCCCTGATGTTTGCCTTTTCTTTGTAGGCTGTTATTGATGGAGAGAACAGAATTAACCTTGACATAATTCCTGCCGTTTTTCCGACATTTTTTTCAAGGGAGAAGAAGGAAGACTAAGCCTTCACACGCTAAGACAAATTTATCCTGAGTTCCCAAGAAGTCTGGCGAATTAAAGTTTCCCCTCCTCCCCTCAACTTACGTGTCACAGAGGCCTAGGCAGCCTTCTCAAGGGACTCTGCACAGAGCCAATGCCCCAACACAAGATACCCTGTTTCTCAAGGGCCCCCCGTCATCGGGCTACTCGGTCAATAATAATCCAAGTTTCCCTCTATTTCTTAGCACTCCCTTGTGTCTCATCAGAGAGATGATTTCCCGTGCCTGTTAAGAATGGAACCAGCAAACAGGGCTTCTGTAAAGGCAGTTCACATGAACCCGGGCAGGGGGGTGGGGTGGGGGAACTTTCACACACCACACCCCCAAAGCTTGATACAACCTCCCCTCTGGAGGCCCTGTGGATCCCGCTAGTTAAGAGGAGACCAGAGACAGAAAACAAATGAAGCCTCACACAGGAGAGGTACATGAAAAGACTCCCGGCCACTCCCTTTACTGGTGCCAACGCTCAGCTTTTAAAGTCAGAACGCTCCAGTTCAAACTGGCCCCGAGCCTGTGCCAACCACGCGGCTGCCAGAGGCCGGGCTGCAGCGCGCCGGACGTTCGACCTCGTCACTCCCATCTGTGGATCCTGACGGCCTTCTCCGTCAGGGTGGCCAAGTAGCTGTGCTGGTTGAATTCGAAGGGGCAGAGCGCCAGCACAGGCTGGTCTGCCTGGAGCTTCTGGAGAAGGCTGCCACTTCCTGCATCCCAGATCTGAAAGAAGAGGAGGCAGATATCAGGCAGCCGGCACCAAACCCGGGAGCAAGGGCAGGAGGTAGGAAGGAGCACAGGGCGCCTTCTCTAAGTGAGAGGGCCTGCCTTGTGGAAGGCTGTCTGAGGGCCATCTGCCTAGTGCGATCAGGGTAAGGATGAAAAGACACACAGGCAGATGGGTCACCCACTAAGAGTTTGCTATCGCCAGGTAAGCACCGCGAACACAAATGTAGGCAAAAAGTGGAGTCCTTCCTCTCCAGGAGCTTCCATTCTAATGGGAGAAGTCAGCCCACTAAGGGAAGGCTTCTGGGGAGAGCTGGAACCCAAGTGAGCCTGGTCTGGTGCCTCAGGACACAAGGTCTGGGCCAGGGACCCACCCCCAGGGCGGTAGGCGATGATGGCCTAAGACTGCAGAGGGATCTGAGAATCCTGGGGCTGGGAGGCTCCTTCTGCCCCGAGCTGCTGCTGCCACCTCAGTGGTGGCCGGGACAACACCATCATCCATAACCGACCTCTCTTCTCAGGAGTGTCAGGTCAGTCAGAAAAACTGAGAAACAACTCCCAGCTCTCACTTGCTATCCAAAGCCCAGTGTTTTCTTCTGGATGGATGACTGAAGGTGCGCGGAAAGACTTGAGGGCTTAAAACCCCACCCTCATCCCCTGGGTCCAGCAGTGTGAGCTGGGGCCCAGACACCAAAGGAAGCGGCTACGCGTCAACCCAGGTGACCTTTGGACAGCGGGGACCTGCTCTGCATTTGGAGAAGCTGGTTACTGCAATGTGACCCCATGAAAAGTACACGCATGACGGGAACGTGTGTGTTTACAAATGTCTACAGGTGCTTCTTGGAAAGATTTCTGAAATGACTAAGTTTTACCCAACTATAAAACCACTTTCCTCCTCTTCTTATTGGGTGTGGGTAGGGTGGAGAGAGGAATACAAGAAATCTATCTCCAGAGCTCCTGAATGGGTGAAAAGGAAGCAGGTTTGTAGAAGACAAATTTCCAACTGTTTCTTTGAAGATAAACTCAAGCTTCCTCTAAATCCGTTCCTGGTTGTGGAGGTGACTGACTTTTCAGGCTGTGTCACCCCCTTTGGGAGCTTATATCAATAAACTCTGGCAGATAAACGGTACTGGAAATATTTGAATCTGTGGCCACCGGTCACAGGCCACTTGTGAAGGTACTTCCTAAGGCACGGTGGGGCTGTGACCTGCCTTCGTACAAGGTGTAGCCACCGTGACAAAACCCACAAATCCCAGTAGCCCTGAAGTGTGAGGTGCAGGAATGTCTCAGCTGACTCTGACAGTTCTCCCAGGAGTCCCAGAGCTCCACCAAGCACTGACTTGGCCATTGTCCTCCCGAAACATCTGTACAACCAAACATGTACCCTTGAGACACATGAGGCAAAAGGCTCCCCATGTTTCTCCCCCCAATGCTTGTTTGCATTTAGAAGGAAGAGCTTCCACGTCAAGCACTAACTTTCATTCACAAACCAATGGTGAGAAACAGAAAGCTGTCTATTTGCTACATGTAGGCAGGCTGCAGTCCTATATGACCAAAACGCAGTTGCAAAATTACTTGAGATTTAAACCTAGAAATCAGGAATAATGAAATTGCTGCTTTTGTTTTTAATAACTTACCAAGGCAGAATTTGAAGATTCATCACTAGCGCACACCAGGATGCTGCCATTCTCCTCTGGGCTCTGGAAGATGGCATTTTTGGTCAGCAGTTTGCAGGTGGGTCCAGCGACGAATGTCTGAATGGGCCGACACGAGTAGACTGGCTCAGTAGCTTCATTTAAACTGCAGGTCAATTCCAGCAACACACTGTGCACCGAGTTATGGTTTTTATCTAGGGGAGGAAGAAAGAGCACGTTGCAAGCTGGACCCGTCCCGCAGGGCACAGCCCTGCCCCCGCAGAGCCAGGGGACACCCTCTGAGAACAAACAAGGCCCAACAGTGCAGTCCAAACTGAACTGGGAAGCCCCAAACGACGAGAAAGCAAGAGCTGTCTCCCGTCCTAGCCGAGGCAGCATCTCTTCTACAAACAGCCCTAATCAGTCATGGGAATTTGTCCCTCTAAAGGGCTCCTTTCAACTGGGACCCATCTGTACCACTACCAAGAAGGGAAGTTATTTCAGAAGGGTGGAACAGCAAAGCCAGGTTTTACTGGAAGACAAACAAAAACTCACTTGTTCTCCCAGCCAATCTTCCAAATGCTCAGGGAAGGTATCTTTGCTAAATATTCTACAATGGCTAGAAGTCTCTTAGATGCAGAAAGCCCTAGCACAAGGGACAATTTAACAAGGCAAGAAGTTGCCATGGTTCTGAAATTTTTCCATTTACAATACATTATGCCCACTCACAATTAGCAGTGGCTAAGGGATTTAAAAAGCCTGCCTCACTAACAACCTGCTATCTGTAATAATAAGTCAGCAAGGGGAAGGGAGGGAGAAAAATTTGGAACTCAAAATCTTGTAAAAATGAATGCTAAAATTTTTTCTTAATATGTAATTGGGGAAAAAAATAAAATACTATTTAAATTAAAAAAGCAATGTCGGCATTTACAGAGCTATCTTACAGAGCTTGGTCAGAAAGTTTTTGTTTACTCACGTCACAGGCAGCTCTCTGGGGCCCCACCCTATCACCCCAATTTATGAAATGACTGTTCAGGGGCAGCACTGGCTTAAAAAGAAGTCGCACCTCTCCTCAGGTACCAGTTTACTTCTTTATTAGAGCACCTTTATTATTGGTAGAATCTGGCCACATTTACACTTAGGAGCAGTCTTTATGCAATGGGATTTTGACCCCCTGTTTTATCAACATGGCAGAGACAGAAAGGGAGCCCCAGGGCCCACTTTTAGGTTTAACCTTCACTATTAGCATTTTCTCCATCACCTTCTGAAGTCCAGCCCTGACTGTAGCGTCTACTGATTTCCAAGAAGCCACCACTTACTGGGCCGGTAGGTGACAAGGCAGTGTCCACTGCGGCTCTCTGCCTGGAGGTCAGTGCAGCCGCCCGACTCCAGAGGTAGGCTGTGAGGGTCAAAACAGTTACTGCTGCTGTGCCTCCAGAAGCAGGCACCTTCTAAGCTTCCAGCCAATATCCCACCAGCAGGAAATGCTGTTGAAGCCATCTGCGGTAAATAGGAGAGCGAGACCAAAGGACACCTGAAGAAGGACAAACAACAGTTACTGCTCAGTCCTCCCGGAGCCTCTGCCTCTCAAGTCTGGCCCTCAGAGAGCAACAGTGGATTCAGGAAGGGCCGGGAAAGCAGGGAAGGCAACATGCACAGGAGAAAATATACAACGAAGTCTCCCTAAAACAGGGGGTCTTCACCCTTCTTTGGGGGACAGATCCCCTGTCTCAAAATGATGCAAGTCGATGCAAGAAATGGACAGTTGGGAAATATTTTGACTCCTAAAAGTTTGCAGAACTTCAGAAGTCTTTGAAAAATAGTCAAGCCACCAAGCAAAAAAGTGAAATACTTAAAGTAATTCTGATTCCTGAAATCAAGACCAGCTGTCAACTGACAAAATGTGAAACCACTCGGAGAATTCTGTTGCCTACATCCCAAAGTGACTCTTCAGTGTGTTTCTGAAAACACAATGTGCTGTCAAAACCGTTTTTAAAGAATGGCAGGAATGATGGTAAGTTTCATTTAGAGGTTAGTGTTTTTCCCACTCATGTTCACAGATGCTCTGAAGGGCTCTGCTAGGGCTGCAGACCCCAGGTGAAGGATCAAACCAGACTTTCAAGTCTCAAGTAGGACATTCCTTTTCTCATTTTCATAACAAACCTAACAGCCCACAATACTGATAAAAACAAACATACAAACAGGTAATACAATCTTACACAAAGCGAACAAATCAGAAATGTGTTTATGGTGTCCCTTTCACAACCTCAGAGTCACCTTTGATTTCTACCTCTCATTCCAATCAGGTGCTACGGCTGGTTGTTTCTCCCTCCATCTAACCGTCCCCTCCACCCACACAGCCATCCCTGTCTAGTCCAGGCCCTATCCACCTCTCCTTGGGACTGTGGCCGTAGGCTGCTAACCGCCTCACTGTTGTCTGGGGTCTCTCCCCTCTGCTATCCACCCTCCACAGGGATTTCCTAAAGCACAGGCTTGTGATCCAATGGTTTCCCCCTCGCCTCTAGGAGAAAAGACAAACTCCTGTTGCCCGACATTCTCACGCCAGCCTTACTGCACATTCCCTTACACCCCCTCGAGGAGCGTGCCAAACAGGCTCTATCTCCCACTTCCATGTAGACCATGTGAGTCTACATGGAAGTGTAGACTCACCTCCATGGTGTGGAATCCCTGGCCTCCCTCCAAGTGCAGCTGAAGGACTGTCTTCTCCAGGAAGCGCACCTGGATTGCCCTGGGGGTGGGCATTCCCACCCTGGTCCTGTCGCTCTATTGATCTTAATAAGGATCAGTGCTTCAGTGACAGATCACACTCTGCCTCTATCCCCTTCCCTCCTCTTGGTGTCCCTTTGTTTTTCAGAAACACACTGAAGAACCACTTAGGGATGTAGGCAACAGAATTCTCCTAGTGGTTTCACATTTTGTTAGCAGATAGCTGATCTTGATTTCAGGAATCAGAATCACTTTAAATATTTAACTTTTTTGCTTGGTGGCCTGACTGGTTTTCAAAGACTTCTGAAGTTCTACAAATATTTCTCGAAATATTTCCCAACTGTCCAACTGTTGTACCAATATAAAATACTGAATTTTGCAAGGTAATTCTGAATACACAGCCCATTGAGTCTCTTTTTCTTTTTTTTTTTGAGGCAACTGGGGTTAGGTGACTTGCCTCGGGTCAGAGAGCTAGTAAGCATCTGTGGTTGGATTTTAACTCAGATCCTCCTGACTCCAGAGCCGGTGCTCTATGCATCGTGCCACCTAGCTGCCCCTCCATTGATTCTTAATACACAACACGTAATTAGTAGTAGATATTAATATTGTAGAGGTTTTAATTCCAATTTCCACCAATCATCTCTTGTTTTCCTTCAGAAATCTTCTGCGAGCATAATTAATGCTGCATGGTTAGGTAATTTCTGGAAAAAAATTTGGCAGTATTTTCCCCTTATTATGTTAAGAGTATAACTATTTAGGCATTAAGGTGTTTAGCTGAACTTTGGATGCCTCCTTGACAAGGGGCGATGGATTCCTTTTATATGTATATTGTCGCTTGTTTTTGCTAAAGCTGGGAAATTTTTTCCAATGACTTCTTGGAATATCTTCTTCCGATTATTCTGTCTGTCCACATTGTCAGGAATACCAGTGATTGGAGACTCCTGCCTCCATCCATCTTCCACCTCTCCTCCAAAGCTGCCACTTCCTTCCCCTAAGACAGGGGAAGGTCTGGAGCTGTGCCCTTGCTGGTACAGATAAGGAAACTTCCCCTTCCAAAGCAGGCCTAGATCTTCTCTGCACTTACAGAGTTAAGAAATTTCCCAGAGAAGTCAAATGGCTTGTCTGAGGCCACAGAGACAATGTGTCAGGGCAGGTCTTGCCTCCTGGGTTCCAAAGCCACGGCTGCCACTCAAATTGGCATGAGTGTTCAATTCTTTGGACAATTCAGTCACTTGAAGCTTGAATTTCTTCCTATACATTTGCGTTGGCAGAAATCCCCATTTTCTGTTATGGCAGCACTTCTATGACTCTGTAAAATGTTCTTCCTAATTTGTCATTTTCTTTACTATTTCTTCCCAATCTTTCTTGAAAAAATTACTTTTAATTCAAGTTTTGTTTCTTCCCTGACATTTCTTACTTTATTTAAGTTCCTCTAGTGAGCTGGTCTTGTTCACTTCTTACTAGATTTAACTTTTGCTTATCTTCTTCAAATTCCATTGCAGAAAGGGGCTCTAACCTTTTTGGGCTGCAAAGCACCTTCTTAGAATCTTTTTTTTTTTTAATTAAAAAAAATTTTTTTAAAAAAAATTTTATTAATTTATTTTGATTTATCAACAATCACTTCCATATGCTTTTGAGTTGAAAATTTTTCTCCCCCTTCCTCCCCCCCACCCTCCCCAAGACGGCACACAATCTGATATAGGCTTTACATTTACATACCCATTAAACATATTTTCACATTAGTGAAGTTGTAAGTAAAAATTAAAACCAATAGGAGGAACCATCAGAAAGATGAAACAAAACTCAACAGGAGGTAAAAATAAGTGATAGCAATTCGACTTCCATAGTTCGTTCTTTGGACGTGGACAGCATTTTCAGAATCTTGCTGTTTAAACGCACAAAATAAAATCCAAAGGATGACAGAGGAGACCAATGCTGACAAAAGACACATAGTTCCTGGCCCCTGGTGAAGCCCTCTGCCCACAGCACAGACCATTCACCTGTGGGGGCAGCCTGGGCAGGGCCTTTTGGTACCCTCCCCTTTTCGGCTGCTCTGTTCGAGGGTTTTTGGTTGTTAGATTAGTATTCTCCTTCACTTTTGCTCACAGTCCATCTTGGTGAGCTTTTGTCTTTTTTCAAAGCTGTTTTTCTTTGCTGTTGTTTCTCCTTGTGAGACGCATATGGAAAGCCCAGCTCCCTTTGAACAATCTCTCACTCTATCATCTTGCCTGAAAAACCCAATCCATTTATGCCAAATAACAACCGGCACGATCAAAGTCATGGAAGATAAAAGGATGTGGACGACCTCTCCAAGTATTGAGCCGATAACCCTGCCCTTCCCCCCCTCCCCAGACATCAGAGTGGGCAGTGCAGTGCTAAGGGTGAACAGAGAAGGAGACGCGGACCTGTAGCCTGGTCCTGGGCGCCGCACTTCCCCGTGGTAGGCCTCAGCTTGTTCATCTGTAAATGAGAACTTTCTTTTAAAAATGAGAACATTTTACAAGACAACTACTGCTCTGGTGCTACATTCCATGATCCTGTGCTGCACTGAGCCATCCGAGCTGCCCCCAGGAGAGACTGGGACGGCTCACAACCGCAGTCCTAATCAGGGAGGTGGCGTTGAGGAGGCGTCAGGATCCTCCATCCCTGAGGGTGCATCCACAGCCACACCAGCGTGGTCACAGACCCATCAAGTACAGCTCACACGTAAGAGGCACCTAACATCTGCCCAGTCACCAATCACGAATAATAATCAAATGTGCCGGCAACGTGCTAGGTATGGGCTGGTCTGGGTACAGTCACACTCTAAAATGAGCACAGAACAGACAACAGCGACAGCTATAGGGGACTCTGGCCTACATGGGACTCGCCCTGGCCTTTCCTTAAACAGCCCTTGTGGGATTCCCCCAGGCCTGTGAACAGTGCCCCCACTTCCCTTTCCTCCATCTATCTTCCAGGTACTGGTGGTGCCACAGTGCACAGAGCACTGGGCCTGGAGTCAGAGAGACCCAAGTTCAAATCTGGCTGTGGACACTTCCCAGTTGTGTGACCCTGGGCAAGTCATTTTACCCATTTGCCTCAGTTTCTCCCACTATACCTCAAGGGGTTGTAGTGAAGACTGAAAGAGAATGCTTGTAAAAGACACCTAGCACACAGTAAGGGCTATACTAAATGCTCACTCCCTTCCCAGGCCTCTGTGCTCTGGCTTTCACCTCATCCTTACTGACCTCTCTGCAGCCTCTGAGACTGACTGCAGGCGACGCTCTTCTCCTGGATCTCCACAAAGTTCTATGAAGGGTGAGCTACTATCATCATGAATACGTGTGGGGTCCATGATAAGGTAAATTTAGGCAAATATGATTTCTGGCTTGGCTGACACCAAAGTTATCCATTATGTCACTCTACCCATCCCTTTCATAGAAGGGGCCTGACAGATATCAAAGTAGATACTTCTTCATTGAGATAAATTCCAATCAGATCAGTTTTGCTAGGAAGCTGCTAAGACAAAAGTTATTATTTTACAGTTTCCAAAGAAAGCTCCACAGTAATAATGAATTCCTCCTCCTCTGCTTAGCTATTCTGAGGCTACATGAAAAAATAGCTGTCATTTTTAAGGGGAAGATACATTTAGAAAAACTGGACAAGGATTCCTATTCCTAAGTCTTTAAAAAGCCCTCCAGCCTCAGGGCACATTTGAGAAAACACCAGGCAGAGATGATAAGGCCACGGGTTCTCTTCCCACCCATGTGATGGCTGCTTCTTCTGCTGACTCACCACCCACGTTGCCTCCACTAACGGTGGGGGCCTCCCAGGGCTCTGGCTGAGTCTCCTCTTCTCTTTTCTCTCTATGTGCTCCCACGTGGTGGTTCAATGAGCATCTCTAGACAGATGCAATCCCAGACACATCTACCCACCCCTAGGTCTCCTGAGCTCCAGGCTTGTTCCACAAATGATCAGACATTTCAAAGTGGGTGTCCCAGAGGCCTTGAAAATTAGACATATGCAAACCAGAAGTTGTCATCTCGCCCTGTTTTCACAGAGGCACAAAAGCCCCCAAACTCACAACTTAGCCCCTTGAGACACCCCATTCTCACGCCCCTCATAGACACAATCAATTGCCAGATCTGATCATTCTAGCTCCACCCCACCCCTCCTCTCCATTCACACATCACCCAAAACGAAGCCAGGCCCTCGCTGCCTCCACCTGGACTGCAGCCAAAGACAGGCCTGTTTTCAGCCTCAAGTCCAATCACATCCATCCCAGAGATGCCAGCGACTCCCTCAGGCCTCCAGGACCAGGTTTGGCATGTACGTCTCCTCCTTATCTGTGATCCAGACGGCCAGGCAGGGGGTATACCCTCTTCTAGTATCTGGCGATTGCTAAGAGCTCACTTATGTTGTGAACCTGACCAAGCTTTCCCCTATGTGAAGTAGGAAGCATCTTCTCGATGTAAACACAATGTTCCTCAGAGCACCTGAGGGCTACTTTCTGGTGACAGTTTACTATTACTGAAAGCTGCCCTTATACAGCAAAGAGATGGCACAATGGATAGAACCTGGAGTCAGGAAGACCTGAGTTCAAATCTGGCCACAGGCACATGCTGTATGACCCTGGGTAAGTCATTATTAAAAAACAACAACAACAACAACAACAACTTCATTAGCCTCAGTTTCCTCATCTGCAAAATGGAGATAATATTCCTCCCAGGGTTGTTGTGAGGATCAAGTGTGATACTAACTGTAAAGCAATGAGCACGTCTGGCACATGTTAATTATTACTAACATTATTATTAACGATGTAGTGATAAATACAAAAGTAACAATATAAAGGAAAACCATGAGGAAAAAGACAACAGAACTAACTCTCCTACCTGGATTTTTGAGGAACTAACTCCTGGACGTGGGAGCTCGTGTCTCTCAAATCATACACCAAAATGGAGCCGTTGACCAGCCCAGCATAGATGTAATTTTCATCATCGAGGCACCAGCAGCAGCTCCAGACTGCACGGCCAGTGTGGTACGTCTGGACCACCGTATTAGTCTCCAGGCTTTGGGGAAGAGAGGAAAGGGATGAATAGAGACACACCTTAAAACGAATCCTATGCATTAAGCACACTGTAGAGGCGCAAAGAAGACTGTCAGTTACCAACGCGCCTCATTAAGCCCACCCTGAGAAACTAGATTAATTCTCATTTTCTTCTGAGAGACCCTCCCCCAACTACCCCAGGACCCCTTTGATTTCAAAACAAATGAATGAGGTTTTTCATTAGTACAGATTTCCCTTCTCACATGTCACACAGGGATCGAAGGGTAAGATGCAGAGAATGAGGCATTTTAAAACTAACAGTGCATGATGAATTCACTGAACTGTAGTATCCTAAGAAAGCGGCCTAGGCTCAGGGGAAACCTCCCGCCTCGTTCTCTGACACCAGGAAGGGTGAAACTTATCTCCCTTCCCAGAAAACCATACCTTGTCAGCTTGACTGTGTTATCTAGCGCCGCGGACAACAGCCAGCTATTGGGCCTGCTGTTGAAGGCCAGACCTCGGATCTCTCGGCTGTGCATCGGAACGTACTGGCTGCTCTTCATGTCTGCCATACTGATCATCTTCACTCCAAAGCCTACCAAAGAAAAGAAGAGGGAAAGCCACCCTGATGAGAAGTGCTCCTCTCCCACCCCTCTGACCAGGACTCTTCGCAAATTGGCCTGTAGGCTGTCTGAACACCAGTGTGGGAGAAGAGAACTTGGATGTCACCAGAGTGCAGTGGAATGAGAGGAGCCAGAGAAACCAACAGCAATAGACTTTCAAAAGGCCGCGGAGTGTGTTTGGTAAAGCCCCTTCAATAGAAATTACTTAGGAAAAAACTTGCTATTTGATAAAAACTGCTGGAGAAAAAACAAAACCCAGAAAGCAGACTGGCAGAAATGAGGATTGGACCATCACCTTATCCCATCCTCTGCGACACATTCTAAATGGGTAAGTGACCGGCATGTTAAAGATCATATCATAAAGAATGAGAAGAGAAGCAGGCTGTAGAGGCAACCACAAAACCAGATCATGGTGACTACATGAAATTGAAAAGTTTCTGAAAAAAAAAAAGAATGCTTCTAGGGCAAGGAAACAGTTGAGTGGGATAGGAAAATTTTGTATCCCATTTCTCAGATAAAGGTTTGTTATCTGAGATATATGGTGCAGCAAGGTGATACAGTGGATTCCAGGCCTGGAAGCAACAAGTTCAAATCCAAGCTCAGACACTTACTAGTTGTGTGACCCCAGGCAAAGGCACTTAACCCCATTTGCCTCAGTTTCCTCACCTGTAAAATGAGCTGGTGAAGGAAATAGTAAACCACTACAGTATCTTAGACAAGAATACCCCAAGTAGGGCCACGAAGAGTTGGATATGACTGAACAATGACAAATCCGAGATAGACAGACAAGCAATAGAAATATAAGACCCAAAACCATTCCCCGATAAAGAGTCAAAGAACAGAAACAATCTTCTAAAGGCCTGAAAATTTTTAACAATCATACAAAAGAATGCTCCAAATCACAAGTAATAAGAGAAATGCACACACAAAACAGCCCTCATAGCCAACAAACTGGCAAAGATAACAAGGATGGGAATAATCGACGCTGGAGGGAGGGGATGAGGAAAAGATGGTGCACTAATGCATTGCTGGTGGAGCTGTGAACTAGTCCAGCCATTTTGGAAAGCAGTTTGGAATTATACAAATAAAGTCGTTCAGCTGTCTATACATATGTCGACAAGCTGGAGATTTTACCATCTGACATCCAGTCCAAGGAGGTCAGCGAAACAAAGTCATCACAGATGAAGCAAAGACCTAGAAAGGAGTCGGCCCGTGGATTAGAGAATAAACTGTGATATCTGAACCTAAGAAGGGATGAATGGGATAAAACAGAGAGAAGCATAGGAAATTCTACATGAAACGAGGCAGAGTGAAGTAGAGCCAAGGAGCCAATATACACAATGGTTACAGCAGAGGACACTAAAAGACATGTGAGAGTGAACGGCCCCAAAGAAAAGACGTAAGAGGGACACCTCCAAAAAACTGTGGGGTCCGCTGAAACATGGCACGTTTTCAAGCTTTTTTCAAGTAACGATTGCTCCTTTTTTCCTCTTCTTCAAAAACAAACAAACAAAAACCAAAAAAAACCACTTTGTTATATGGGATTATTCTACTAGAGGGGAAAGGAGAGAGAGATAATACGGGGAGAAATTTAGGTGACCTAAAAACAATAATTTATTTTTAAAATAAAGGAATGGGGGAGCAAAACCTACCTAGCTAATCGAATCAAGAAAATAATAATGATGAACACCTGCAGCATGTCAAGATCATGGTAGTGGAGATGCTGTGTTAGGGATGAGATCTGAAGGAAAGCAGACATTAATCCTGAAGGGGAGCTAGCAGAAGGGAGGAAGGGGGCAGTGTACAAACCCTAAATGGGAAGGCATAAACCACGTGATTTTCTTATTTGCATGGATGAACTGATCTGGCAGTGAAAATCTCTTAAATTGTCAACCTGAGTGCAAGTACAGAAGTTCTTCATGAGCATTTCTGTTGACATTGCTGTTGCCTTTAATTCCTAACTAATACTGATGATAAATCAGAGGAACCTGGGGCTCTAATCCTGAGGACATGCTATGGCCCAATCCCATTCAATTCTGGGGGACCCAGCTAGGATGTGGTATGGAGAAATGGCACAATAACAGTAAGGATTCAGGCTGAGGAGAACTTGAATTTCACAGTGCCCTAGACTGTAAGTTTCTACGGTAGGAGCCAGGTCTTATTTATCTTTTGTATTAAGTCTCGATATCTATCATATCAGCTTACTAAATGTCTGCACATCCATTCTTGAGCTTTCCAGTTAAGGAGATACAGTGAAAGGATCAAAGGAGCACACATATCCCTCAAAAAAAAAAAAAAGGGAAGACAACAAAGGGAAACATCAAAGGGAAGAAAATCGGTTTTTAAAAAAAACACAAGAAAATTGAAATCAACCAAAATAGGAAATAAGCAAAGTGAAGAAAAGTGGCAGTACAATATAAAAATACTGTAGAGCAATTAAACCAGGTAAATTACCAAAGCAATACATATGAAAAAGAAACAGTCATATTAAAATGGGTAAATGGTACATTCAAAGAAATTAGGTACAAATAAATGCTGGAAAGAAAACCGTAAGGCTAAATAAAGACCTTGGAGAATTAAAAAATTTCAGGGAGAAATCAAGCTAGAATTAAAAGATGCTAAAAAAAAATAAAAAGATTGAGAGCAAATAAGAAAACAACCAATATGGAGACTCTAAATAGAACCCCCCCCAAAAAAACCAAACAAACCCAAATCCACAATGGATAAGAGACTTACTACTTCAGAAAGCAGAGCTGTGCATGACATAGAGCAGCTAGAAATAAAATCTTAAAAAAAGAACAATCACACTTTTAGAGCTAAGATGGTGGAGTAAAGGCAGCAACCCAGATGAACCTTCCCAGCATTCCCCTCCAAACAATTTTAAGGCCTCAGATCAAACTGTGGAGTGGCACAGCCAGAAAAAGGTTGGGGTGAGACATTTTTCTAGCCTACAACAACTTGGAAGGAGAGATCTGTGACACTGGGGTGTAGGCCTGGCCCAGAGGGCAGGCAGAGGCAGGCTTTGGAAGCAGCTGCAACAGAGGTAGCAGCAGTGTTAGGAGCTCTTGGTCCATGCAGAGTAAAGGAGCTGGATAACTCAACAGGAAGAGATTACAAGGGACCCACCCTTTGCTGGGACTGAGTACAGCTGGCACCGACTGGCAACTCTACTGCCCACACACAGTTCTGGGTCACACTTCTAAGGCGAAGAGAGTGCAAGTACAGACCAGAGCACAGACCAAGGGAACAGTGACCACACCACCTTGGAAGCACTGAAAATTTGCAGACCCTCAGAAATAGCTCTGAAAATAGCATGAAAAAGCCTGAAGCTTGGGATAGTACCTTCCCACCCTGGGAGCAGGGCTTAACTTTAACATAAAATTCAAAGTCAAGAAATAAGTTGGAAAAATAAGCAAACTACAACAACAAAGAACTTGACCATGAAAAGCTGCTCTGGTGTGAGAGAAGACCAAGATACAAACGCATAAGACAACAACGTGAAAACAGCTATTAGCAAAGGCACAAAGAAAAATACTAATTGGACACCAGCCCAAAAAGAATTTATGGAAGAGTTAAAAGTGGTAGATGAAAAAAAAGGGAAAGGAAATGAGAGTGATGCAAGAAAATTATGAAAAGAGAATTAACAGCTTGGTAAAAGAGGTACAAAAATACCGAAGGCTATATTACATCTTAAAATACAGAGTTGGTCTAATGTTAAAGGGGCACAAAAATTCACTGAAGAAAACAACTCCTTAGAAAGTATAATAGGCCAAATGGAAAAGGTGTTATAAAAATTCACTGAAGAAAAGGACTCCTTAAAAAGCAGAATTGGCCAAATGGAAAAAGAAGTATAAAAGCTCACTAAAAAAAATTCCTTAAAATTAAAATTCCTAAAATAAATAAATAAATTAATTAAAATTCCTTAAAAAACAGAATCAACTGACCTGGAAAATAGATCGAGGAGAGATAATTTAAGAGTCAATGGCTTTCCTGAAAGCCAAAAAGGGCCTAGACATCATATTTCAAGAACTTATCAAGGAAACTTGCACCAATATCTTAAATCCAGAGGGTAAAACAGAAATTGAAAGAATCCACTAACCATCTACTGAAAGAGATCCCAAAATGAAAACTCCCAGAATTATTATAGCCAAATTCCAGAGCTCCCAAGTCAAGGAGAAAATATTACAAGCAGTCAGAAAGAAACAATTCAAATATTGTGGAGTCACGGTCAAGACCACACAAGATTTAGCAGCTTTCACATTTGAGGAGCAGGGGGCTTAGAATATGATATGCCAGAAAACAAAGAGTCTAGAAGTACAACCAAGAATAACAACCAGGGCAGCTAGACGGTGCAGTGGATAGAGCACCGGCCCTGGATTCAGGAGGACCCAAGTTCAAATCCGGCCTCAGACACATAACACTTACTAGTTGTGTGACTCTGGGCAAGTCACTTAACCCCATTGCCTAGCCAAAACAAATAAACAAACAAACAAACAAAAAAAGAATAACAACCTATCCAGCAAAACCGAGTATAATCCTTCAGGGGAAAAAGTAGGCATTTAATGAAAGAGGACAGAGGACTTTTAAGCATTCCTGATGAAAGGATCAGAGCTGAACAGAAAATTTAACAAACACAAGACTCAAGAGAAACATAAAAGGGTATAAACATGAAGGAGAAATCATATGGGAATCAATAATGTTAAACTGTTTACATTCTTATATGGGAAAATCATACATGTAACTCCTATGAATTTTATCATTATTAGGAGCAGTTAGGAGTTTACATAGACACAGGGCATGAGAATGAGTTATGTTGGGATGGTCCCCAAAATAAGAAAGGGGTGAGAGACAGATGCACTGGGAGAATGGAAAAAGGAGAGGTAGAAGGGGGGAAATATTTTCACTTAAAAGAGGCACACAGGAAGTGAAGTAGAAAATTGGGGTGGTGGCGGTCAGCAATGCTTGAACCTCAGTTTAATCAGAATTGGTTCAAAGAAGGAAGAATTGGGTATAAAAATTTATTTTTTCCAATAGCGAAGTAGGAGGAGAAGGGGATAAGAGAAGGGAGAGGTGATGATAAAAAGGAAGATAGGTTAAGGAAGGCAGTGGTCAGAAGCAAAACAGACTTTTAAGAGAAGTGATAGGATAAAAAAAGAGAAAGAGAAGAAATGGGATAGAAATACACAGTTAGTAATCATAACTGAATGTGAATGGGATGAACTCACCCATAAAACAGAAGCAGACAGCAGAATGGATTAGAAACCAGAATCCAACAATATGTTGTTTACAAGAGACAAACTTCCAACAGAAAGACACACAGAGTTAAAATAAAGGGCTGGAGCAGAATCTAAACTGCTTCAGCTAAAGTAAAAAAGGCAGGAGGAGCAATCATGATCTCAGACAAAGCAAAAACAATTAAAAGGGATAATCAGGCAAACTACATTTTGCTAAAAGGTACCATAGGCAATAAATATCAAAAACTTTTACAGCAAATTTCTCTAATAAAGGTCTCATTTCTCAAATATATAGGTAACTGAGTCAAATTGATTTAAAAAAAAGCCATTTTGCAAATTGATAAACTGTCAAAGGATATGAATAGGCAGTTTTCAGAAGTAATCAAAGCTATCTATGATCATATGAAAAAATGCTCTCACTACTGATTAAGGAAATGCAAATTAAAACAATTCTGAGGTACCACCTCATACCTACAAGAAATGACAAATGCTGGAGAGAATGAGGAAAAAATAGGTACACTAATGAATTATTGGTGGAATTGTGAACTGGCCTAACTATGCTGGAGAACAATTTGGAACTATGCCCAAAGGACTATGAAACTATGCATACCCTTTGACCCACCACTACTAGGTCTATAGGCCAAAGACAGCAAAGAGAAAAGAAAAGGAGCTAGCTATATGTACAAAAATATTTATAGCAGCTCTTTTTGTGGTGGCAAAGATTTGGAAATTGAGGGAATACCTGAACAAGTTGTGGTAAATGATTGTGACGAAGTACTATTGTTCTATAAGAAATGATGAATGGGATGATTTCAGAAAAACACGGGAAGACCTTATGCAAAGTGAAGTAAGTAGAACTGGGAAATCATTGTGTACAATAACAGCAATGTTTGTAATGATAATCATTTGTGAAAGGCTTAGCAACTCTGATCAATACAGTGCCAAGACAATTCTAAAGGACTTATGATGATAAAATGCCATCCACGTCCAGATAGAGAACTGATGAACTGAGTGCAAAGTGAAGTATAATTTTCTCACTTTATTATTTTTCCCCACTATGGCTAATATGGTAATTATGTTTTGCATGATCATAATGCTTTCTTTCTTAGTCAGTGGGGGAAGGACAATAGTGAAGAAGAGAATTTGGAACTCAAAATTTTAAAAAATTTAAGAAATTAATTTAAAAAAAACTGTACAAGTGACAGACCAAGAGGAAAGATCATGAAGCAATAATATGTCTAGCGTTACTAATATCCACGTCCCAGAAAATCTGGAAAAAAAGAATATGAACATTTTGTTTCAAGTAATCATTAAAGAAAATTTCCCAAAAAGGAACAAATAATTGGTAAAGTACATACAGGAGGAACTCACAGGATTCTGACAAGGTTCAGAACTCCTTGACATATTCTAATTAACCATCAAAACTACAATAAGGGGAAAATATTTTAGTTTTTTACAAGTACAGAAATCTTCCTCTTATTGGTTCTAATTCTTCCTTACAACATCACTAACGTGAAAATATGTTTAATAGGAATGTATATGTGTAGCCTATATTATCAGATTGCGCGCCGTCTTGGGGAGGGAGATAGAGAAAAATTTAAAACTCAAAAGCTTATGAAAGTGATTGTTGATAAATCAAAATAAATAAATTTAAAAAAAAAAGAAATGCAGAAATCACTTACCAAGGAGCAATCAGCATCCCAGTGGACTCCTTCCACCAACACCTCTCCCTCAACCCCCTTATTCAAGAAGGACAAGGGACAATTAAGAACTAGGGGCTATGAACCCACAGCTATCTACTAAGCAAAATACAGCATGCTTTTTGAAGGTAAAAGAATCATTACAACTATGATACGTTAAAAAGAGACACAAACACTTCAAGGAACTCTGTGACCCATAAGTAGGTCTCCCAACCAAAAAGTTAAGTATTTGTAAAAGCTATACTTCTCAACATAAGCATTTTAAAACTTACACTCTCCAACCAGATTAACCAGTTGCTAACAAAATACAGTAACACTCAGAGAAATGTACTGGCTGAATCATGAACTGTTTGAGAGAATGGTACTCCAGAGCAAGAGAGAAATAAAAAGGGGGAGAAGGGAATGAAGGAATTAAGAGAGAGAAAGCGGGAGAAACTAACCCTAAGGTGAAGCCTCTGCCATTCAAAACGGCTAAGTCCAAGTTAAAGAAAACATCACACCTATTACTGTAAGGCAGGAAACTCATTTATAGCAATTTCTGTTAAATTTAGGATAAGAATTTTCCTTCCTATAGGCCAAATAAAAAGTGATTAAACTTTTCAATAAGAAGAAAGAGAATCACAGAATAGATGAAAAAAAAAACCAGTAAGTAACAATATGCTGTTTATAGGAGAAATATTTAAATAGATTCAAAATGAAAAGGTGATCTAACATTCTCCTTGCTCCTGCCAAAGAATGAGAAGCCAGAGAGTGCTAAAGAGAGCAGTATGAAAAGAAAGAAACAATAAAATCAGATTATTGTACTAAAAAGATCTATATAAAATGGGTCAGTGAGAGGTACCCACAAGACTTGCTGTTTCACAACAACTCTGGCATTCTCTCCATGACCACAGCTATGCAGCTACCCCCTTAGTTCAGGCCTTTAAGCATTTCTTCCTTGATTCTGGCAACCACCTCCTGGTGGAGGGGTGAGTGTCTTCCCATTCCAGTCCATCCTTTCCATGGTTGCTGCCAAAGCACAGGTCTGACCAGGTGAGCCCTCCTCACCTAATTACAGGGGCTTTCTGCTATGTCCAGGCTAAGAAATAAACTCTTGGTTAGCTTACAAAACTCTTCACAACCTGGCCCCAGCTCCTTTCCACTATGGGACCTGAAAACAAGAATCAAAGGCATCGATAATGACCATTGAAGCCCAAGGTTTCAGTCTGCTTACCAGGAAGGAAGGTGGCCTGAGGAGAGGGCTGGGACACCACCAGGCAGCTCAGGGAGTCACAGTACGCCATGATGCGGCACCTCCCTTCCTGTGACACTGTGAAGGCCTTCTGAAACTGGTACTTGTGCTGGTTCTGGCTGAGAGGCAGACAGTTCGGGAAACACGGCTGGGAGCTGCCTGGCTGAGCAGAAGTTGACCCATGCTGAGCCACAAGAACCTTCAATTCCTGAGGAGTTAACCACAAAAATGCATGAAGAGCACCCTGGCACTGGCCACACTCTCCACTACCGAAACTTCAGGAGATGCACAGGACACAGTCTGTGACAGACAAACTCCCTGTGCACACTGAAATCTGGCCTGAAACAGGTGCTACGGAAGCCAAAGGGATCCTCTTCAGCCGGGCTTTGCTAATCCTTTTGTCATACCCAGGTTTAGGCAGTCACAGGATGCCCTAAAGGAGGGTGGAATCCTTACATTCCAATTCAACATGGCTGCTTTGGAGTGAGAGAATGAGGCTCAGAAGCCCGACAACCCAGTGAAGCTGGACACTCTACCAAATATGGTCAATTCTGCCTCTAGACCCATCACCATGGCCATGCTTTCTCCTCTCTCCCTCTCTCTCTGTCTCTCTCTCTGTCTCTCCCCTGCAAAATACCACCACCGCCTCCCTCTTTATTCTGTATGCAGCTTCTTTCTGCCCTGCTCCCCATTTCCATCCATCCTCCAGGTACCTGCCAAACTTGATTCCTAAAGCACAGGCCTGACCAGGAAGCCTCAGCAGTTTCTACTGCCTCTAGGAGAAAAGGCAAACTGCTCTGCATTTCTGCCACCGAAAGCCCAGGTGTCCAGAGCCAACCTCCATGAAGAGGCTCAGCTGAATGGGCTTACCTGCTATTCTCTCTCTGACATACCATCTACCATTCCCTTGTCTTGGCACAGACTGTGGCCTGGACACGCCGAGCGTATCTTCTCTCCTTACAGTAAGTGCTTAATAAATGCTCGTTGATCGATTCCTAGGCGTCCCCCTCATTATTTTGTATTTGTTTAATCTATGTACCTGTTTTCCCCCAGTAGACTTTAAACTCTTTGAAGATGGGGATTGGTTTTGGTGTGTAGACGCCTAGCATCTAGCAGTTTCTGGCACTTAACAAATGCTTATTAAGCTGAAGACTATGCCCAGCTACTAGAAAGACTCCTGTTTCGTCCCTATTCCAAAAATGCCGTGGATTAAAGGGGTGAGGTACCCACCTGGACATGATTTCGAAGCTTGTTACATTCATCTGAGAGGACCTGCAGCTGGAGCCGGCACTGGGCTGATTCTAACTCAGCCTCCTTCCTCAGCATCTGCTCCTTGAGCAGGGAACTAGAAAGAGAAGCCAGCACCAAGCAGTCATTACGAAAGCATCTCTTTTACACGTGAATGCCCCCACCGCAGCACAGTCGCACAATCCTTAGAGAACGATGATGTTTCCTGTGTCCCACACGTCCACACTGTCATTGCACAAAAGGATTTTCCTCTCTGGCTTCCCACAGCTACTTCTAAAAGTTGTTTGATGTCATTGGTTTTATAGCAGTCTTTCCCTCCTTAATCATTCCCCTGTATAATCTTCATCTTCTTCCTATCAACTGGTTCCTTTCCTACTGTCTTCAAACGTGCACACAGCTCTCTGATCCTTAAAAACAGCATCAGTATGTCCTTCCACACTCTTAAGCCAACTGTCCTGCATCTCCCCTCTCTCAGACAAACTCCTAGACAAACCCATCTAGGCATTTCCTCCCCCTCATTCATTCCTGAACCCTTTGCAGACTGGCTCCCAAACACCTCACTCCCCTGAACCTGCTCTCTCCAAAGTTAAGCATGATCTCTCAAAAACAAAACTGGATGGTCTTCTCGACCTCTATGCTGCTTTTAACACTGCTGACTCTGGGTTTCTGTGACACTTCCTGGCTCTCCTGCCATCTGTCTGATCACCCCTCAGTCTCCTTTGCTAGTTCACAATCCATGTCACCCCCACTAACTGTGGGGGCACCCCAGGTCCCTATCCTGGGCTCTTTCTCTGAACTCTCCCTCATTAGCTCCCATGGGTTTAATTACCATTTCTAAGCAGACACCTCCTAGAAATCTGTCATCTCCAGAACTATGGGACATTTCAAAATGGATTTCTTGAAGACATCTCTAAGTCACCACGTCCAAAAAAAGGGCTCATTGTCTTTTCCTCAAACCCCACCAGTTGAGAGAACCCCCATGTTCCCAGGTTTATAAGCTCTGCATGATCCCTGATGCCTCACTCTTCTTCACCTCCCCTATCCACTCAGTTCTTAAGCCTTGCTGTCTCTACCCCATCAATATTTCCTGCATCTGACTCCTCTCTGTTCACATCACCACCACTTAAATCTTGCAAGTGCCTTCTACGTGGTCTCCCTGTCTCAAGTCTGGCCCCATTCCAGCCTGTCCTCCACCTGGTGGCCAAAGGGATGCTCAAGCGCAGAACTCACCGGGCCATTCCCCTACTCAAAAAATTCCAGCTGCAACAAAATATTAAGTCTGCTGGGGGGCTCTTAGAAACCTTCCCAACCTCTCTCTTTTTCTTTTTGGTGAGGCAATTGGGGTTAAGTGACTTGCCCAGGGTCACACAGCTAGTGTCAAGTGTTTGGTCTGAGGCTGCATTTGAACTCAGGTCCTCCTGACTTCAGGGCTGGTGCTCTATCCACTGCGCCACCTAGGTGCCCCCAAGAGCCCTCTCTTAAAACAAAGAAAAACAGTAAAGCAAACTTGGCAAATGAATCTGACTGTATAGACAACATTCTACATCCGAATCCCACCCCCTCTCTAGCAGGGGGAAGCAAGTACATCAGAAAACCTGCCCTCCAGGAGGCTGGTCCCTGTATAAGGGTATAGCACATTAAAAAATTTTCTGTGTCCTTTCATGGTATTTTAGAATTCCTAGTACCAGCTCACTCTTCAAACATCATATTCAGCAGCATCACAGTTCTAACAGAATAGCTGAATGCAATGTGAGTTCACCAGGCAGTGAAATGGGGAACGTGCTCCAAGGAGGTCATCATCCCAGGCGCTGTCCGGCTCGTCCCCGCCCTCCATTCTGGGTGCTGGGCCCCTGCCGACAGAGTGGCCGGCTGTGAGGGGGCTCAGGGAATTCAGGAGGAAGAAAGGAAAAGGCAGCCACTAGGGAACATGCTAAATTTCCATGGGGCTGCAGTGAGGAGTGTGTTCATCTGTGTACATGTTCTATCGCCCACCGGAGTGACATAGGTGGCTGCCATCACAGCCTTTCTGTCCTCATACCCTCCCCACCTGTGCACAGCACAAAACTGGAACCCGAGGCATGTCTGTTGAACTGAATCACAGAGACCCACACATGTCATGACGTCTGAGTCCTGATACACATGCACACACACCTCAAGTTCATCCCATTGAGACCAAGATCAGGATGCAGAAATAATAATGTGGATTCAACTCAAAAACACTTCTTAAATTCCTATTCTATGCTAGGTGCAAGTGAGGGAAGGTACAAAAACAAAAGGAAAGAATCCCTGCCCTCACAGAGCTTACACTCTACTGCGGGTATACAACATGTACACAGGTGACTGACTCCAGGCCAGGGGCACAGGGTGGGCAAAGGCATGGTAGCAGGAAATAGGACAGTGCCTGAAGAGGACTGGGTGGGGGAAGGGAGGTCATAGAGGGCCTTCAATACCAGATTCAAGTCATAAACTCCACAAAGGGAAAATCTTCTCCATCATAGTGGGAAAGGCGCCTTCAGGAGGCTCTTCAAGCAAAGCTGGATGACCACACTGCTTGGGTTATGGTGGAGTGGGGATTTCCTTCTGGTCTGGGCTGGACCAGATGGCTGCTTTGTCCCTTCCCACGGTCAAACCACGATTCTGCCTTCATTTTATCCTAGAAGCTACGGAAGATGCCCGAGCTGGGGAGTGGCGTGTTCAGGTAGGTATTTTGGGAATATCAATTTGGCAGATTTGAGAAAGATAACCATAATAGTCAACATTTACACAGTGCTAGGCACCGTGACTGGAGAAGAGGCCAGAAACAGGGAGAACAATGAAGAGGCTGATGCCTCCCGGCAAGAGGTGACAGAGGATGAGATGCGAGTGATGGCTGGGGCGGGGCGTGGGGCGGCGAGGGTACTGTGTAACTAGAACTGTCCACTCTTGACAATGGAGGGGAGGGGAGGAGGAAGAGGAAAGCGTGAGTCTGGGGTCGTGAACCTGGGTAAACAGAGGTGGCTGGTGGCCCTGACCGGAGCAGAGAGGAAGCTGGGAGGACTATGAAGAATTCTGCTCTGTACATATCAGTGAGTTTGAGATGCTCCCAGGACATTCTGATGGAGATTCCTGGCAGACAACATGGTCCTGGAGACGAGGGCTGAATACATCCCCATAGAGGTGATCATTAAACCCACGGGAGCTCATTTTAACAACAGTGAGTAATAACATTACTGAGCTGAGATTTATCTGGCACTTTAAGGCACAAAAGTGCTTCACAGGTGTTCTTTCTTTGATTCTCACAACAGCCTGGGAAAGGAGGTGAAATTGTTATCCACATTTAAGGGGCTCTGAAATTAAGTGACTTTGAGAGAGTCACACAGCTAAGGAAATTTCTGAAGGAGGATTTGAACTTGGGTCTCCCTGACTCCCAAATTCAGAGTGCTACCCACTGTGCCAACCTGTTTCCTAAGAAATGCCAGCAGAGAATCAAAGGTGAACGTGACAAGCAGACCCCTTTCTTTCTACCTTTTCATGCGCTCCTGTTCACTGGTATCCAGGGCTTTTAGGGTTCGGGCATAGAGAACCACAATGTCTGAGCGTTTGGCTTTCTTGTTGCACTAAAGAGAATGAAGGAAAAGCATTAATGTCGTTAAAGGAGGACTCCTCCTTCCTGATTCACACCCAACCCACACAACCAGAGGTACCGGTGCTTCAGCAGCCACTTCACTATCTAAAGGCAGGTGCCGCTCCATCAGTGACCTCGGGGGCCCCCGTACACGCGGCACTGCCTGGGCTGGTGAAGCAGCCCCTGTGAAGAGTTCACGCTGCGCGGCACAGGTGGCTGTCATTGCCCACTCCCCTCTTCTCACCCCTCTGGCCAGGCCTTCCACTGAGCTCAGAGGCTCTACCCAAGGCACCACCCAGACTTCTCGGCTTCTCAGGTTCTGTGGGCTCAGGCTGACCCTCTGTCGCCCCACACTCTTGTTAGCCAACCTTCTCCGGTTACCCTTAGGACCACAGGACCTCAGGGTTAGAGATGAAAGGAGCCTTAGTGGCCCCCCTAATCCAGCTCCCTTGCTTTACCGAGGAGGAAGCTGCCTCATCCGGGGCCTTCCATACGTTTCCCATTTCCTCTCTTCTACTTCTTGGATGCCAGTCACTGGCAGAACATCCCAAAGCACGATCCCTCCCCCAACCTCTGGATCCTGAAGCTGTGATCTTTCCAAAGCGATGGCGCCGTTCCCTAATGCTCGACAGCGGCTGCCCGGTCTTATTCTAGCGACCACTGAAATGGCACCTAAAGCCTTCGGCAGTGTGGCAGAACCTGGCTGCCAAGAGCCCGAGGGCTCTGCCAGGCCAAGAGGAGGCAATGGACAATGGTCTACGCCAGAGGCCCTTAACCTGGGGCCTGTCGACTTCTTTTGAGAACATTCTGATAACTGCACTTCAATATCACGGATTCCTTCTGGAACCATGCGCATTCTATTTTATCATTTACTGACAGCATGGGAAGAAGGGCCCACAGGCCAAAGGGGTCCGGGGCACAACTGGTCTAAACCGATGCAAAAACATCCAGCTCGTTCAACAAACAAGGGAGAGAGAAGGTCCAGGATGACTCTGAGCCATAAGGGTGGCCTCTGGCTGGGATGAGGAGAAGGAAGAGGATGGCGGTGGGGGTGGACCCAGACATTTGGAGGAAGCATGGATTTAGGAAAAAGAGACAGACATAGCAAGTCTGAGGAGACAACGGGACACTTGGGTGGAGGTCCAGCAGACAGCTGGCAATGTGGGGTTGGAGTCCAGGACAAAACATTAGGGCTGTACATATAAATTTGGACGGCCAAACCCATGAGGCTGCATGACATAACCAAGAGTGAAAAAAGAAGTGGTCCCAGGTCAGAGCCCGGAAAGTTCCCCACATTCAGAAAGAGGAGGAGACAGAGAGAAGACTGAAGAGTCAGCAGAGTGGTATCCTAAAAGCCAGGAAAGAAGGGAATGGGGGATGTGGGGGAGGCCCTCTGTACAGTGTCAAAAGCCAAGGACAGATCAAGGAATGTGAGGACAGAAAAAAGGTCATCAGCTTTAGTAACTGGTAGGACTGTCGGAATGATAGCCAGACTGCAAGGGCAGGATAAAAAGTGGGTGGTTATAAAGTTGTGGAGGCAGCATGGCAGACACTCTTTTTTAGGAGGAAAGACGAACAGTGGAGGGGATGACAGGAGAGACCTGAGAATGTGTGTAGGCTGCAGGGAAGGAGCCAGGAGACAGGCAATGACTGAGGTTGCGATCTGTAGAAGAAAAAGGGAAGGGGGATAGGATCAAGGACATGTGTAGAGGCAGGGCACTTCCTTCTTCGGAGCCCAGAGCAAAGGAGATGAGAACCACAACAGACCAGAAGGCAAGATCACCTGAAAGATGAGCTCTGAAGCAGCTTCTGTGGGGAGTGTGGTCCAAGGGCAATCCAAGAAGCAGCAAAGGACCACTATCCACTTCTCTGGAGGCCAAGGACAGAAGATGAGGCTTGCTCATCATGCAGCAGAAATAAAGAATGGCTCACACCGCCATTGGTGGCATGGTGTGAATGACCTTTGGAGGTGCCCACAGGGCCTCCTGGAGACTGTCTTCACACAAGGCTGCTGCTTGGCAGGCACAGGGAGCCCTGACTCCTCTTCCCCAAAGCAAAGAATGCAGACTTTACACCCGTGTACCAGGAAAGCAGGGTACGCACCTGAGGACATTTCCCAGCTTGTCCCCTGAGCCACTTGGAAATGCACTTGTACCCAAAGAGGTGCCCGCATCTCAGTGCAGAAAGCCGGTGGTCCCCAGCACTGGTCCACTGTTCAAAGCAGATGGCACAAGTGTCCCCGTCTTCCTCCTCCAAGGGGCCCGTTGCTGCTGCGGCTGGCGGAGGGAGGGGTTCAGGCTTCAGTGGGGACTGCTGAAGGGAAGCAGGCATGCCTCGGTTAGGCGGCTTTGAGCACCGGCCCCCTCATTTGCTCTTTTGAAAGACCGAACGGATCTGTTACCTGTTTGAGGGGGGACTCTGCGCCAGCAGCAGGAGCAGCTTCCAGCTGGGCCAAAGGGTCCTCTGGAAGGGCCTCTGCAGGAACCTCTCCAGAAACTGTGGGTAGGCACAGAAAAGAAGTCACTGACACAGGGGCCGTACCATGCAGCCCATCAGTGGGCTAGGGAGCTGGCTGTTTCCATCTCTTCTGCATCTGACCCTTCCCTTCCCTACCTTAGTTGTGGGCCTCCTGACCTCTTGCCTAGACTATGGCCTTGAACGTCTCCCCACTCAAGTCCACCCTTGATACAGCTGCCCAAGTCCTCAATACTGGACCAGACGATGTGACTGCTCAGCTCCATAAACCTTCACGGCTCCCTCTTGCCTTTAGGGCCGGTTCAGCTTTTAAAGCCCTTCCCAACCTGGCCCCAGCCGACCTCTGTGGCCTCACTGGGTGTTCCTTCCCCATTCTGCTTTGGGATGCACAGCTGGCTCATCCTCTTTCCTCCATGCTTTTGTCCTGTCTGTGCTGCATTCTTCTCATTCCCTTCCTCCTCCACCTCTACCCCAGTCTCTTTCTCTAAGACACAGCCCAAACCCTCATCCCCACAGCTGCCGTACCTCCCTCTACCACCTTGTACTAAACTTCTGTTTCTTCTTTACACACATATATGTACATGTATCTACATCCTTGTTTGACTTCTCCATTAGAATGTCAGCGCAGTAGGGGTAGGGATGGCTTCATTCTTTGTGTTTTACGAAGCACATAACAGGTGCTAAATAAAAGCTTGCTGATTAATAAGAGGATGGACACTTAGGAGACCCCAGTTACTTTGATCTTTGCATATTAACACATGAAAGTAAGTCAGAAACCCAGAAAAGTCACTGACTTCTTCTAAGATAGGAGAAATGAACATGTCCCTCTTTAGCTCTCTAAAACAAAAACCCAACATATCATTGTGCCATAAATACCATACACCTCAGGTCAAAATAAGTGTGTACTTGGCATTGTCTAATCTAGCTCTCTCACTGTAACAATGGAAGGCTTTAATGAAAACATGGAGGTAAGACCCCAGCTGGGACTTTAACATAAGTTAACTCCAGAATGGGCCGTGGTCCACCAAATCCCAACCTGGACAGTACCTACCTCCAAGCCCAACAGCGTCTGGATCCTCGTCCTGGATGTCCACCTCCTCATCCTCACTGGAGCTGTTACTTTCTGTGTCAGAGACACTCGACACATGGATGTCCTCAGAGCCAGGGTCATCATCATCATCATCATCATCATCATCATCATCATCATCATCATCAGGATTGGACGGGTCTGCTAACTGGACTGGCTGTACCCTGTTAACCCGAAAGTATGTGTCCAGTGGTGCCCTTGATCTGCACAGGAAAATAACCACATTACAGCATGAGAGACGCAGGCCCTGCTAACGGAGTGGATGCTTCCAAGAGGCCTCAACATTGTCCCTAGTCAAGGGGAGCGCTTAAATGTTCCCTTCACAGAGTTGAGAATGGGACCCACAAGAGGGCTGAGCAGGGTCTACAGTGGCTGATGGGGTGGGGCAGTCATGGCTCTCTGGCCATGCACCCACAATGCACCTTGGCACGGGGAGGGAGAAGATGGAAAATGTCTAGGTGTCCTCTGTCCCCTTCCTGCCCTTTGGCTGCTCCAGCAGCCCTGGCTAAAACTGTGCAGGGTGTGAGCAGGAAGGCTCGTGTCAGTCAGGCCCGCTTTCTACTTTAATTTGATATTTTTTGATACATTTTTTCCCCAAAGTGCTTTGAGCACTTCATAATAATTATCTAGGGTATGTCTTAAAAAGTGCTATTATTAAAAAATGACCCACTTTTAGCTTTAATAGCTGCCTTTATGTCATTGAGTCATATTTAGAAATCCCCAGATGAACTTTTAGAGATGATCCGCAATTGAAAAATTACATTTTCTAATGGCTTGCCTGCTTCTCATGGAAAAATAGGAGTTTCTAAGTACCTATTCAAAGAGCTGAGCTAAAGAAGAGCTTAAAGAAGAATTCACAGGGTTTGTTTCTATTTTCTATTTGAGATCCAGAAAAGAAGATCCATTCTTAGAAGAACATATATCAGACACACACACGCACACACACACGCGCACACACACGCACACACACACACAGAGAAGGATATTAAATAGAGCTTTTCATCCTTTCATCCATAAAGTTCTTAAACACCTTCACCAGCTTCCAATAAATCTCTCAGTTTTTTAAGTTAAGGACAGACAAGTATGTTACACAGGCAACAAAATTATGAAGACTGAGCATGTGTGAAGAATTAAAAAAAAATTTTTTTTTGGCTAGGCAATCAGGATTAAGTGACTTGCCCAGGATCACGCAGCTAGTGAGTATCATGTGTCTCAGGCTGGATTTGAACTCAGGTCCTCCTGACTCCAGGGCTGGTGCTCTATTCACTGCGCCTGAAGAATTTTTTATTGCAGCCAAATAAAACATAACATTAACCTGACCCATCACTATGTGCAGAATGGACAACTGGGCATCAACAGTGAGCAGGTCAAACTGGCAAACCCAGTAGCCCCAGGGGCCTCTGTGGGATAAGGTGCACAGAGGAGCAGGAAGCTGCTTGGAGACTCCCCCCTTCCTTCTTTTATTAATGTATTTTACTTTATCAATAATCACTTCCATAAGCTTTTGAGTTTTAAATTTTTCTCCCCCTCCTCCCCAAGATGGAGTGTAATCTGCACACACATATCACACATATATATACATTCCTATTAAACATATTTTCACATTAGTGATGTCTTAAGTAAGAATTAGAATCAACAGGAAGAACCACCAGAAAGAAGAAACAAAACACAACAGAAGGAAAAAAACAGCAAATAGTATGCTTCAATCTGCATTCAAACTCCATAGCATTTTCCAACATGAGGCCTTTGGAGATGTCTATTGCTGAGAAGGGCTAAATCTATCAATATTAGTCGTCACACAACGTGGCTGTTACTGTGTACAATGTTCTCCTGGTTCTGCTCACTTCACTCAGCATCAGACCATATAAGTCTTTCCATTTTCTCATCATTTCTTATAGCACCATAGTATTCCATTACATTCATATACCACAACTTGCTCAGCCATTCCCCAGTTGACGGGCTTCCTCTCCATTTCCAATTCTTTGCCACCACAAAAAGAGCTGCTATAACTATTTTTGTACATGTGGGTCCTTTTCCCATCTGTATGATTGATCTCTTTGGGACACAGCCCTAGAAGTGCTATTGCTGGGTCAAAGGGTATGCACATTTTTATAGCCCTTTGGACACAGTTCCAAATTGCTCTCCAAAATGGCTGGATCATGGGGCAGCTAGGTGGCACAGTGGATAGAGCACTAGCCCTGGATTCAGGAGGACCTGAGTTCAAATTCAGCCTCAGACATGTCAGACTTACTGGCTGTATGACCCTGGGTAAGTCACTTAACCCTGACTACCTAACCAGACAACAACAACAACAACAATAACAAAACAGCTGGATCATTTCACGGGGTCTCTCTCCATAATTCAGAAGATCCAGGTGTCTGGGACAGAAAGCATGTCCTTTGACCGTGCGCCCTGAAGGGCGGGGCCACTTTGTAGCAGTCCTGGCTGCTCAGACTCCCCTGGCTTAGGGACCCAGGCTTCTTCAGAAAGTACTCAGAACAGATCCATTCTGCCCAATCCCAGCCCTTAGCTGCACATGGCCAGAGGGAGGGCCCTGGAGGGCCTCAATCATTCCTTTTCCTACCCAGGGCCTGGGTAAATAGACCAAATCAGGACAGTACATATGATTTAAGGAAACCTCCCTTCCCCATACTACCTAAAACTACATCAATTTATTTAAAAAATTTAAAAAAATTTTTTTTTTGCTGAGGCAATCACGGTTAAGTGACTTGCCCAGGGTCACACAGCTAGTAAGTATCAACTGAGCACACATTTGAACTCAGGTCCTCCTGACTCCAAGGTTGGAGCTCTATCCACTGCACCACCTTGCTGCCCCTAACTACACCAATTTAGATGAACAAGCAACCTCAAGAAGGTTAAGAAAAATCATCAGTTATTCAAATTTTATAGCAGATTGGTTTAATCAGATCGCTTTCTGAGCTGAGTTGTATTGAAACAAGAAATGACAGTTTTGATGGGGCCAGGGAAAGAGTGGATAATTTTGGACAAAGAGGGAGGAAAAGGTAAAAGGTTAGAAGAGGGTATGAAAAAGATAAGTGTCATAAAAATTCTGCCTAGGGTCCAGTCTGCCTTCCTTTCTCATTTCAGTATCTTGCTTTTGCTGGAGGACAAGAGTTAGTGAGGCTGGTGTGGACACCTGGTGCCTCCATGATGACTTAGAAACTTTCAGTGGGGTGGGCAGGGGCTCCCGGAGGCCCAGGGTGCTGTGGTGGCACACGGGTATGCTGTATGCCACACACAGCCAAGCCAAGATAGCACGCAGTAGGCCAGCCTGAAGCGCCAGTCCTTCCTGAGTTACTTAGCCACCTTTTGCTAGAAAGCAGCAATTCCAACACAGTCTTGCCCAGGGGCTGGGTCAGAAAGTGAAGACTATGCCAATATGGGAAACGAGCAAGAGGCACATAACCTAGAAACCTAGCTGGCTACCTTACTGCCCTCCAGAACTGTTAAGGAAATTAAGAATAAGGTTTGTCGAGACCTCGGAGGCCCAGGAACTCTAGGCACTCCACTGGGAAATTAAAAGCAATGGGTATTCACTTCGTGTGCAACGCCCTGAAGCCTCATGCCCATCCTGGGCCACAGAGGATCCACCTGGGTCTTAGACACGTTGTCAGCGCCCAGTAAAGCCACAAATGCTCTTTGGCTGAAAAGATCCCAAAGGCACAGAGGATGAATACCAGGACGCCGGAGCCTGCCAAAGGCCTTCCCTGTGGGAAGCATGCGGTCTCCAGGTCTCTAGCTGCAGCCCTACTACTTCTGCATACCCTGCAGCAAACTGTAAGCTTTCTCTCTCTCCACTTTCGAATCTGTAAAGCAGTGTGAACAGAGAGCTCACAGGCTTCTTGCTACACATGACCTCACTATTTCATGGAGTGGGGGTGGGGGTGTCCTGACAGCTGGGGATGTCTTAAAAGGGGGAGCTCAGTCGAGTCCCATCCCTTCTCTGGACTTCAGTGACTTCATCTGTCAAGGGAGGGGACCAGACTGTAGAATACCTGAGGCCCTGTCCAATGTCCAGTCTAAACCTCAGGAAGAATAGAAGGATCTGAAATCTCAAGAAGACCACAACGTACCCTCTTCTCTGTGCCCTTTTGCCAAGTCCCTCCCACGTCCTCTAGGAAGAAGACCCCCACCCCCAACCCGCTAGCTACAAATAGGAGCAAATTTCTCCAAGCCTCCCACTTTGCAGCCCCTACACCATCCCCCCATATCCCCCCGCCTTTCACAAATCCCTGGCAGACGCTACCCCCATTTGTTGCCTCAAGCACTGATCCCACAGCCAGCCCAGACCCATCCACGCACACTCCGGCCCCTGTGACCACCCCTTCCTCACAGGCACCCCGAACGCTGGCCTCTTCATTCCTTCCCCATCTGGTAGGATGTTCCTTCTCAGTCACCCCTGACGGGTCACCATCCGTGCCCCACCCCAACCTAGGCCAGTGCCCATGTTCACACGTCCCAGTGGCTCTGCAAGGGATCCTCTTCTAACAACACTTTCCCCAGTGTCTTATTAGTTTTCACAGATTCAATTGTCATCTCTATATGTACAGGTGTAGATGGGAAGCCAGGTAGCACAGGGGATAGAGTGCTGGGCCTCGAGTCAGGAGGACTCATTTTGCTGAGTTCAAATCTGTGTGTAATCTGTGTGACCCTGGGCAAGTCACTTAATCCCTCTTGCCTCAGTTTCCTCATCTGTAAAATGGGCTGGAGAAGTAAAAGGCAAACCACTCCAGTATCTTTGCCACGAAAACCCCAAAAGGGGTCACGAAGAATGGGACACAACTGAAAAACACCACCAGCAGCAGCAGAGTGTAGACAGCTTCCCAATCCACAGATCTGGCCCTAATCTCTCCCCACCAAATGCCTGCTAAGTAACCCTGGGATATCCTAGAGACATCTCAAAATCAACATGTCCAAAACAAACCGGTTCCCTTTATTTCCTATGTGCCCCTGCCATCTTCCAAGAGCACCACCATTCTTCCCATCACCCAGGGTCACAACTTCAGGTTTACCCTTACCCAGTCAGCTCCCACAGTCAGTAACTTCTACCTCCACGCCCTTCTCTGCTCCCAGGGCAGCCCCTATGAGGTCTGTCATCACTTGCCTGGACTGCTGCAATATTCTCCTACTCAGTCTCCTGGCCTCAAGTTTCTCTCCTCTCCAGGCCATCCTCTACACCCTATCCTTAGAGTGAAGGTCTAGTCAGGTCACTTTCCTCCTCGGGAAACTCCAATTGCTCCCTATTGCCTCCAGGACCAAATACAAGATTTTCTCTTAGCTTTTCAAATCTTTCACAACCAACCCTGTCCCAATCAACCTTTACAATCTATTACTGCCCTTCACACACTCTATGGTCCAGCCAAACTCTCAACTCCGTGTCTGGAATATACTCCCCCCACTAAACAAACAAAACCATTTCGTTTCCTTCAAAATTCTGTTCAAGTTTTCACTCTTTACTTGGCACCTTGATGGTTCTTCCCACCCAAGTAGATGCCTTACAATCACTGTGCAGCTATTTCAGCGTACAATGTCTCCCTCGATGGAATGGAAGCTCTTTGTGGTCAGGACTTTCATTTTGTTCTTTGTACTCCCAGTGCCTTGCACAGTGCTTCTGGGACTTCATAAACGCTCAAATGGTTCAGGAGAAAATCTGGGAAAGAAGTTTCAATGGAGGAAATCCACAAGAGGAAGCTGTGGAGATTCTGAGGATGAAGGATTTTTTTGGCTGTGAAGGATAACTTTTAGGATAAGAGGATTCGTGTCAGGATGGGTTGTTGGAGGAGTAGCTCTCAAATGTATGTCTTATAATGAAAACCTTTTGGTTATATCCATATTCTGTTGAATATAGCTACAGTTAATGTTTCATTAAAAAAAGAGTTGTCTTGATAGATGGGGGTGAGGTCTTTGGTCTCATTCATGTCTTTCTCCTGAACCATCTTTTCCAACACTGTTTCTGCTCCCCTCTTCCCATGGCCCATTTTTACCCTGACGTTGAATTAGAGAATTCTTCCTGAGTTCTTCATAGGTCTCTCCTGCCTCTTTGTAAAGTGGTTGGCACGGAGGCTCTGGCTAACTCTTCTGGGGCCTTTCTGCCAACACGTAGCACGAGCAGGGTCACAGATGACCACGTACACTACCACGACGTGGTTCTCGGACACACAACAAACCCAACTCTGCTGAGGAGTCGCTTCTTCCAGAGGAGCCTGCAGCCGCCATTTAACTCCTAGTTTTATGTTGGGGAGAACACCAAGATGGCTTGGGCTTGTTTCCACTCAGGGGCTGGGCCAAGGCATCGCGTCTAAAGCCCAGTTTACTGCGCTTACTCGCAGTCTGACTCTAAGCACCCTCGACCTCCTCTTCCATCACGCTGTCAATGGCCCTGCAGAAGGCAGTTTCCTATGTTGATCCACGGGTGGCCAGAGCCGCTAAAATCCATTACCAAGAGGCCAACCTGCTGGTGGTACTTAGAAGACAGGCATGATCTGAGGCTGGGATCAGACCCAAAGCTGCTCTAACCCAGAGAACTGTCAGAGCCTGTACACTACAGGTGATGTCCCCAAAGCCACGGTTACCTCCACGACATGATGAGGAATCAGTGCAGGGTTTTATGGAGGTGCAACCTTCATATACACACATATATATGCATCTATGTATATTTGTATACGTACACACACACACATTATACAAAAGTGTAACCACTTAATAAAGAAGGAAGGTCTTAGCAGAAAAGTAATGCATAATAACTGTACTACACAATAATCTATCAAGACTTATAGAACACCTACCTCTTGGTAAGACTAGTCCAGACAGAAAGTTATAAAGGGAAATTATTTTCAAATTCATAGCATGTTCTCAAGTGCAGAGAGCGGTAAATGTTTTCATACTGAAGAATACACTCAAAACTAACTCATAACCTTACATAATTTTCTTTCTAGAACTCTCCCTCTCCCCACTCCAGCCTTAGGGCCCCAGAAAGATGACTAGACAGGACACACTTATTTATTAGGGGATTATTATTATTGTTGTTATTTTTTTTTGGCTAGGCAATGGGGTTAAGTGACTTGCTCAGGGTCACACAGCTAGTAAGTGTTATGTGTCTGAGGCCACATTTGAGCTCGGGTCCTCCTGACTCCAGGGCCAGTGTTCTATCCACTGCACCACCTAGCTGCCCCTATTGGGGGATTATTAAACAAAGTAATTCATCCCTACCCCTGAAGACTTCAATTCAAAGCTGGGAAGTATTTTTAACCTACAAGAAATGTATCAATTCATGCAAGGGGAGCAATAGCATCTAGGTCAGGGATTCTTCATCTAGAGTTCACAGGTAAATTTCAGGAAAAAAAAATATCATTTACATTTTCACTGACCTCTAACTGAAAACTAGCATTTCCGTACTTGTTTAAAAAAGTGGCTCTGAGAAGGGGTCCACAGACTTCACTGGCCCAACTGCCAAGGGGGTCCCTGACACAAACGAGGATCTCTGACCTTGATACAAGGGATCCCTGCAGGTCTGCATCCCCAAAGCACTGTTACATACATTACTTCAGCCTGGGCCATGTTCTCTTCTTCATTTTATAGATGCCCAAATTTACAGGGGCTAGGACTTACCCCAAACGTCACTGACTCTTTCCACAACACTAGGCTACTTTCCTCCAGTGTTTTAAAAGGACTGAAAATAATCTGACTGAAATCCGCCCATCCGGGCCCCTGGGTTGGTAAATGGATTTCCAGGATACGCTTTGCCAGATGAACACAATCATCCCACCTGAAAACACCTGGATTGTCTTTTGGCCAAAAAGTGTGAAGCTGGATGTCTCCCCGGGCACAGCGGGTGAAAAAGTATAGTCTCTGCACCCCGGTCCGGTTGTGTGGGCGGGGCCCTGCCTCTTACCTGTAGTCCACAGTCCTCTGAGACCCTCCTGCCCTCCTCTGCAGGCGGACTGTCCTCCTCCTCGTTCGCACTGACTGCGTCATCTGCTGGGAGGGCTGCCTCAAGAGGCCCAGCACCCCATGCAGCTGCTGCAGTCTGTCAATAAAGCTGTTCACAGAGTTCAGGGCAGACTCTGGGAGGATGGGATTGACATCAGATCCTACTGTATCTTCTCCTGCCGCGGCACCGAGGTCCACATTCTCCTCAGCAGATGACACAACTTCTTCGGTCACTTCGATGGGCACCTGAGGACCAGGAAGCAGAGGGGCATCCACCTGCCCAATGAATGGGTCAGCAGAGGCCTCCTCCCGATGTTCCATAGCAGGACCTCCTTCTACCACCTGAAGGTCAATGTCCATTTCTTCTTGAGCCATTGCTGAAATGATAACAGATTAAAAAAAGAGATAAAAATACATACAAAGTAAACATACAATGCCGTGCCATTGGTTCCACTAAGTCTAGTCTTTCAGAGCTGCTCTTCAGCAGAGGTCCATGCTGCTTTGGGAGGCTTTCATTTTCAAGCCAGTGGCTGGCTGACCCAGGAAGACAGGCCACATAAATGCCAAAGGGAGTGTGTGACACGGAGTAGTGACAGCTAAATGCACAGGATGAGAGAGAACCCATGAATCAACACCAGACATTAAGGGCTAATCCTTAAAGCACTCTTGGCATCCCTCCTCCACCAGCCGCCATCTTCTCAACCCACCACGGCTTGTGCTGGGGACCCACATCGAGATTCTCCTCTTTCAGCAGAAAACCTCTGCACACTCTCCATCCTGAAAGGCAGATGTTAATTCTGCCCAGCCATGTGAAGAAAGAGTGAGAGGAAACCGGGCTGCCTTCTGGCTGGGATGGTCCCTATCCTAGAGACCCCCAAAACTGCAGAGACTCTGGCCAGAATCCCTCAGCCCTGAGGAAATGTCCAGATGGTGATTCAGCCACCCAGAGAAGAAAAGGGAGATGGTTAATGATGAACCGGGTAATGGGATCAGTGGCTGCAAGGGGCCCGAAGGAAAGGGCACTAAAAACCAGGTGGAATGCCAGCCACAGCTGTCTCTTTGGAAACGCCTCAAGGCAGAGACTTAGGTCAGTGAGGTTCCCCCCAACATGGAATAAAGCTGGAGAAGCTGCGCACTCTAACTCTGGGGGCGTACCCATTAAAGCAGCAAAGAATCAGAAGGTGAGTGATGGAGGAATGAATACAAGGGAAAAAAAATCTCTAAAACCAAAGATTTCAAGAGGAAGAACATTCAAATCAATCAAGAGCAGGAGCAGATCAAAAGAGAGGTTCCTAAAACTACAAGGAAAGAGAAGTACTAGATCCTCAAAGAGAATATGACTCTTGACAAATATTATAAGACCAAGGAAAGTGAAACAATACTAGAGGAACATAGAATCCAGTAAAATTCTAAGAGAATAAGGAAAAATAAGAAATGCCAAAATGGTGCAAAAGAGAACCAAAATCCTTAAGAGGAGAAATTAGGGAGAGAGATAGATTGGATCTGTGGTTTCAGGAGTATCAAGAGCTAGGGGGAGTAGAGCTGGGGGGGGGATAGGACTGATAACTTAAACTCAAAGAGAAATGGATTCCTGCAGGCCATAGGACGACTTAGAAAACCACAAGTTAACTTATCTATGTTGTATGATGCTTATTTATTTTGTTAAACATTTCTCAATTGTATTTTAATCTGGTTCAGACTATATTAAAAATTTTGCAGCTGGCCATGCTGCAAGCAGGTTTGACACCTCTGACCTCAAGTGCTGAAAGGTTTAAGTAAGTAACTTTTAGTTCAGACAGCCTTATCTTTCAGAAGCAGGACTTGAACTCAGGTTTCTTGTCTTGGAGGCTGGCTCACCAAGATGCCTTAGGTAGGAACAAAAATCAGAATTTATAGCTTTCAAAGCAGAAATAATCAGTTTATCAAAACCAAAAGCTTGGAAGGATAATCAGCTTACTCTAAAAACCATCAAATCACAAGCATGACACTGTGAGCACTTTTAGATTTTAACCTTTTTACATTCATAGCCACTCTCTTGAGTGCGAGGTACTTCTTCAGTTATTATTCCCCAAACTCTGGGCCAGAGGGAGCCAGCACAATCCTTGCTCCTGACAAGTGCTTCTAGACCGTCCCTTTGCCATAAACACTAAGTAACCGTCTCCCTCTGAGATCTATTATCCACCTGTCTGTCTCACCCTGCCCAGATCATCACAGTAGCATCTACTCTTCTGCTGGTAATTCTCCCTGCTTTCTCAAGAGATCCACTACCTGATACATAGTCTTCATCTCTATCCAACCTCCTGCTTTCATACTTGGGGTCTCCCACGCACATAGAGACATCTCAAAACATCTTGGATTCCCAGGCCATCCTATGAAAAAACCTCAGTCCATCTCAGGACAGTCATAGCCTTGATGACCCATAATTGTGCTACATTTGTGATTCCAACTCTGAAATTCCTTTCTCTAATCACAAATTCCTATCTTTCTAACTCTCCCTTGACCTTGTTTCTCATAAACTCATTCCTCGTCCTAATTCTGACTTCATCCCTCCATCCCTGCCTGTTCCCCAGGACGCACAACCTTAATTTTCTTCTCTTTGGTCTTGGCCACAATAATGACGACAACAATCACCAGCATTTATGCAGTGCTTCACGTAAATCATCTCATTTGATTCTCAACACAGCTCTGTGAGGTAAGTGCTAGTATGCCCCTAGAAGAGGAAACTGAGGCAAACAGGGTTAAGTGACTTGCCCAGAGTTCCACAGCTAGTGTCTGAAGCCGGATTTGCACTTAGGTCTTCCTGACTCCAGGTTCTATGCACCATGGCACCACCTGGTGGCCCATACTATACACGACTGGTTACTCTTGACCCCTTTTCCCACCTGGTCACCCAGCAGTCATGCTTTGCCAAATCTCACCACCTCCCTATTCCTTCTGAAACCCCCCTTCAATCCCTCTGCCCTCTACATCTCCTCCCCAGAAGGTCACCTGCAAACTCCCCCCTCTCTCCTGGACTCTCTGCAGTATGCCCAGTCACCAATGACCCCTAGTAGCCCAAGCTTCATCTCCTGGACATTTCTGCAGCCTTGGATGCTACAGATCACTGTCTTCTCCTTGACCCTTTCTTCTCTCCAAGTTTTGATGCCATCTCTCTTTCCTGTCTCTCCTCCTGCCTGTCTGACCACTCCTCCATCATCCAGGTCTTTCCCAATACCTGACAGTATCTCCCAAGGCTCTGTCCCATCTCTTCTCTCCATGCGATTAAGATTGGTGATCTTCCACGGACTCACCCAGCTGAAGGTCTCCCCTGGCCTCCTGTCTCACATCACAACCGGCTGTCCCCTAGACATCTTAAACTGGACAAGTCTAAAACAGAACTCATTATTTTTGCCCCAAACTGTTCCCCTCTTCAGAACCTCCCTATTACAGCTGAAGGAACCATCCTCTTCCCAGGCAGCCTTGGGGGTCACCCCACGCATACAACCCTCTATCTTCCCAACAAGTCTTGGTCAGGCGCCCCTTTCTCTCCTGTGACAATCCACTCCGAGACAAGTACAACAGCTTTCTGCCTCCTGACTCTGATCTCATTCCAATCACTCAGCTGCTAAAATAAAGTATTCCTAAATAAAAATAAAAATAAAACTTCCTAAATAAAGTAAGGTCACCCCCCAGGTCAATCAACTCCAGCCCACCCTCTTACCTCTTGGATCAACATAAAACCCACTGTCTGGTTTCTGAAACCCTTCATAAACCAGATCCCTCCCAGCCAGTCCTCTGATAACGAGGCTGAGCCTCCCACAAGACCCTCCATCTCCTTTCACTGGATGTCTCCCCCCATCCCCCATCTCCTGGCTTCCTGTGGGTCCCTGGAAATCCCACCTTCTGCAAGAAGCCTCTCCTGACATCCCCTACTGCTGCCTTCCTTCTACCGCTTCTCTGCAGCTTATACTGCCCCTAGCTGGTCGGAACAGAGTCGTTCTCACGTTGCCTCCTTCGTTAGAGTGTAAGCTCTCTGAGGGCAGAGGTGGGTGTTTTAGCTGTTTTGGGGTTTGTCTTTTTGCCTGTATTTGTATCCCCAGTGCTTAACACAGTGCCTGCACCCAGAAGGTGTGTAATGAATGCACACTTCCTTTCCTGCCTATCACCTTTCTCTGGATGCCCAGCACTCAGCCCGGTGTCCGGCACGCAGTAGGCGCTTAATGAATGCTTGGTGTCGGTGTTGGGCTCGGCCTGGGCCCCACGGCCGTTGTCCGCCGCGGTGGGTTCTGGCCCCAGGTTTCTCTACTCCTGAGGCCCGCAACCTCCCACGGGGCCTGCGCCACTCGGGCTGGGACCGGACAAGGGGCCTGGCAGGCCTGCGGCCCCATTTGACACACGTGGAAACTGAGGCCTACCGCGGCCTCTCCGCGGTCCCGGGCCCGGGTCTGCAGGACAGCCGAGGCCGCGAGGCGCCAGACCCGGGGGTAGGAGGAGCCCCGGAACCTCGGCCCCGCCCCGCTCGTTACCTGTCGCCGCCGCACGTAGGCCTTTGGGATCCCGGGCTCCCAAGCTAGCTCAGGCCTGGGCCTCCCGGAGACGCCGCCGCGCCTCCGCCGCCGCTGCAGCCGCTACAACCGCCATCACAGCCGCCACCGTCGCCAACTCCCATTGGAGGATGGTCTCCAGCCTCCAGCCAATCTCATCTCCTCTTCTCCCATTGGTCGGAGGAGTCAGGCACAGAGGCACTCTGATTGGCTCTTCTGGGGGGCTCTTCACAGACTGGTCCGCCAGGTCGTTGGGAAGCTCAGAGACTTCCCTCCGTTTGGTGGCCGGATCTTTCCATCACTGTACGGCCCGCCCCCTAAAAGGCTGTGCGGAAATGGGCTCATCCCACCTCCATTTCATTTGAACTTCTGGGCGGGAAAAACTTATATTGCCGGAGAATTGTTGCTCTTGGCTCGCCTAGGCCCTGGGGAGCCTTGAAACTGGCAAAGACCTAGTTGGCCACCCAGCCCAACCCCCCTCCCCCAAAGAAAAACAAAGCCTTGTAACAAATGCATAGAGTCATTAGCCATGCGCGAATTACTGTCTCATTCTGCTGCTTGAGTACATGACCTCCATTTAAGAAAACAATTTAAGGGCGGCTAGGTGGCATAGTAGTAGATTGAGCATTCTCCCTGCTGTCAGAAGGACCTGAATTCAAATTCAACCTCAGACACTTACTACCTGTGTGACCCTGGGCAAGTCACTTAACCCTGATTGCCTCCCCCAACAATTTGGATTCATGCAAAATATTAGAAAATGGTGCTTAACCTTTGACTTAGCAATTTACTTACTGAGTTACTATCCCAAGGGACTTTTGTGCAAATGTGAGAGATGATCTCTCAGAAGTGAAGCCTCCTCCAAGGGTCATTAGTTCTTGTTAATGGTTCTGATACTGTTGCTTTTGAGTGGTACATGTGTACCAACACTAAGTGAAGACCCCTCAGAATGCAAGACCCCCTCCCCTAGCCTTCTCCCTCCCCTGCTCTTAGATAGCGCTAGCAGAAATTCCTGAGACGCGGGAGCATCCTGTCTATCTCATCCTCTAGCTGGTTGTATGACCTTGGGTAAAAGACTGCTGAAACTGTGAGGCCCTGAAAAGGGGAACGTGCTAACACAATTTCTATACCTCTTTGTTCTCTCTGTTGCTGGGGTAGTTTTTACACGAATAGATTGTACACCTGAGGCTCAGCCAATAAGCCGATGGGAAGGGGGTTAGGGTGGGCTGCTACCTTGGGGTCTTTGTAGTCTTGCCTTGAACAAAGAGCACTTGAACCCTCGGGGCAGCTGAGGCAGCACGGGGGTGCACTTTCTTGAGAAAGTCAATGAAGAGATCCCTCCTTTTGCAAACTTTTGTCAAGACTCTGGTTTTTTTAACTGAGTGAAAAAAACCGAGTGAAACAATGTAAACAATGTGAGATCTCTCAGATGGACTGAGTGTAGCAATTTCTTAGACTGTTACAAACTCAAGGTTGGTTACACTAGCCTCAATAGACCTAAGTTTCAGGTTCCTAGAAAACACATGATCTGTACTGTTACATTAGTATTAGGTAATGGCTAATTACTAAATAAGGATAAATAGCTAGGATTGGTAGTATTATAATGAGATCCCTTGTTTCTGGGGTAGATTTCCGCGTTTTAGATTGTAAGGCTGAAATTCCTGTCCAATGGGAATTCAAAGTGGTGGGTGGGTATCTCTGTGTTAGGGCTATATAACCTTTGTCCTGGCCTTTGTGCCTTGCCTCGCTTTGCTGGGATGACGAAGCAGACGTTGGCTTCTCGGGAGAATGTAATAAATCTTTCACTTTATACCTAGAAAATCTCTGAGTGTTATTTTTGGGTAGCTGTAACACACACAAACAAGAAGAAATCTATTTCACTTTGTGTGTGTACATCTCTATCTGTCTATGTGCTATATATATATACACTCATACATATGCTTACATATATCTATATATATATATCAGCACTATTGGTACTAGTTGACTCTGGGCAAATCACTGTCTGCCTCAGTTTCCTTATCTGTCAAATGGAGATGATAACAGTACCTCCCTGCCAAGGTTATCATCATGACCATCAGATGAGACACTATTTGTAAAGTGTTTTGCAAACCTTAAAGCGCTATAAAAATATTATTAGTATTATTAATAGCAAAAAAAAAAAGGAAAGCAAATTGACCAACAATTAAGGAATGGCTAAACAAATTATGGCATGTGAATGTGATAGAATATTAGTGCCCCGCAAGGAGTGACAAATGTGAAAAATCCAGCCTCCGATACTTACTAGCTGTGGGACCTGGGTAAGTCACTTACTCTGCCTGCCTCAGTTTCCTGGTCTGTAAAATGGAGATAATAACAGCACCTACCTCATAGGGTTGTTGTGAGGCAACATTTATGAGACAGTGTTTATAAATGAGACAATGTTTATAAAGTAGTTAGCACAAGTGCCTGGTACACAGTAGGTACTTATTGATTGCTTATTTCCTTCCTTCCTAGGAAGAATTCATAGAAATAAAGGGACTCTTGTGTGAGGTGATGCCTGATGAGCAAAGTAGCACCAGGGAGAACAACAGGGGCACCGAATATTTTATATAGCACCTACTGTATGCCAAGTACTACGCTAAGAGCCTTATAAATATCTCCTCATTTGAGCCTCAAAACAACCCTGACAGGTAGGTGCAGTTATTATCCCCATTTTACAGATGAGGAAACTGAGGCAAACAGTGGCTAAGTGACTTGCCCAGGAACCTACAGCTAGCAAGTGCTGAGGCTGGAGTCAGGTCTCCCTGACACCATCTACTGAGCCATCTAATAACAATACACTCAATGAGTACAATTGTAAATCAAGAAATTTTAAATGGCAGTGAAACTCAGGTTGAAAACTTTGGATAATGCTCATACTAATTTATAGGGCATGCTCCTGACCCAACTTTTACAAATGGAAAGCTGCTGTCTGCAGTATCATTCACAAGAGTTCCTGGGTGTTATTTTCCTTGAGTTTTCAGGGATTATATATCCAAACATCTAATAGGCAGTTTTGTATGCTGGGGTTTTTGTGTTGTTTGTTTATTTTGGGAGGCAATCAGGGTTAAGTAACTTGCCCAGGGTCACACAGCTGATACATTTGAACTCAGATCCTCTTGACTCTGGGGCCTGTGCTCTATCAATTTCATTTTGAGAAAATGAAACAAAATTTATCAGTAAAGTAAAAATGTTTTTATGTGAAAAATATAAGAAAATATAAAAAATATAAGAAAATATAAAAAATATAAGAAAAATAAGAATTTTGAAACACGCTTTGCCTTAATGTTATTCCTTCAATTGTGCCTATGGCCTAATTATTATCTTGTGTCTCAGTGAATGAAGCCCTCCTCCTAAATTCAAGGCTCTGTTTTAGGCACCGAGGATCCAAAAATTGGAATGATCTCTGCCCTCAGTGTGTCGTGGGAGGGAAGGGGCCATGACAGGCATTTAGGTGGGTGTAATAGAAGACTGGGAAGGATGGGGGCTGAAGAAAGATTCAGATGGTGCTTAGGGAATATTTAATAAGAGGAAGAACCCCTTTAGTTGGGGGAATCAGGGAAGGGTTATTGAGGAGATGGAATCTGACCTGAGCCCAGAAGGAAGGGGATCTCCAAGATACAGAGATGAAGAGCCCGTTTGCAAAAGTGGCAGATGGCTACCATGGTGATGGACCAGACCAGAATGGACTGAATGGACAGAATTAGGCAAACTGGAGTCAGGCTGTGGAGGATCTCACATACTAGGCTTCTATTTTATCTTGGGCTTTTGAATAGGGGGATAATCTGGTTAAACTCATGCTTCAGAAAGATTTTTTGGGAAGCTTTGAGAAGGATGGCAGGGCTGGAGGCACTATTTAGGACAATGCTTGTGCCAAGAGCCCTTCGCTCTATGAATTAATTAATTCATTAATTAAAGTGATTAAATTAAATTAAGACTAATTAAAATGATGGCAGGACCAACTCTGCCTCTTCAAGATTTCAGCAGATGGCGATTTCTCAGGGCCAGCAGCCTTTCCTCCAAGGCAGAGACATGGCAGCTCACAACCCCCCAGTTCCTCACAGTAGTAGGATATAGTCACATGGCCCTTCTCAGGTGAAGCATTTGGTGGCCCACCTCAGAGCTGGAACCAGGGCAGAAGAACTGGGGCTTTGCCTCAGGGAGCTGAATTCAGAGGGTGATTGTTGTCTGCATCAGCAGCATAGAAAAAGTAAAGCTTAGCATCTAGTTAGGAAGATTCATTTGTTCAAATAGGAAGCTACAAGATGGTGGATTGAGGAGAGCTCCTCCTCCCTCTGTACCTGCCCTCCCACCCTCAGGCCAAGGTCCCAGGATCTCTGTCTCAGACCTCTCCTCCAAGCAGGGCTGCCTGGCACCTATTGGCCCCGGGGCACTTGATAGTATTTATGCCAGGTGCAAACGCTGCCTAGTCACAGCTCTGGCCAATGAGTTTCTCTACACTTAGAAATTTTGGGAACTTAAGAATTGAAGAATATGTTTAGCCAGGCTGGTCCTCAGACGCCGAACATGCCAGTCCTTTAATGGTCAGGATTTGAAACTTTCTCAAGCATTTAGTGTTCCTGTGTTGAGTATAGCCTTGGGACCCAGGGTCCCCTCCATATCACAATGACACACTGTGAAAGTACTAACTATAATGTTTACATGTATAATAGAGCATTAATTAATAATCAGTCATCTCTATTGAATACCTACTGTGTGCCCTAACTTTGGGGTCACTGAAAACTCAAGAGTCTCTACCAGTGTGCATTCCATTGATTATCAGGCAGTAACCTCAACGAGCTTATATCAAAGATATTTACTAGGTGGTATGGAATGGTTGGTATAAAATATTTCCCCTCAAAAGCCAAGAGGCAGAGATAAGAAATGGAGGGCATTTGGTGGGGCTGTAAAGTGTCAGAAAGCAGGATAATGAATAACATAATGAGTCTGGAAGGATAGATTAGGTCCAGATGGTGAAGGTCTCAAACGCTAAACAGGATTTTATATTTTATCCTAAGTGGCAATAGGAGGCTACTGGAGTTTACTGGGTATGAGTGTTTAATGATCGGATCTGTTCTTATGAAAAATTA